CAGCTGTTTCTACTGTTTCTAGTGGGACTCTGGCTTCTCTAAGCCTCATTTTCCTATGTAAAAGTGAGGATAACGTGGTAACCAAGTTCATGAAGTGCCTGCTCTGTAAATACTAAAGACATACTCAGTTCCATTTCTTCTTTCTTTACTCCTCCCTGTCCATGCCAGTTCTACTTACATGCCCCCTTTCTCTGGGAAGCCTTCCTTACCATTCAGACCAAAGCAATCCTCTCTCAAACACTCCAGTTTCCAGCACTGTGGTTCTTAGATGGAACATAACTTCTATGGTAAAGGGCTTACTGTCCACTTCTCCCGTCCCTGTACTGAGGACTTAACACAGCAGGGCTCAACCACAGAACCACATCCCAGCTCTTTTTATTTCTTGAGACTGAGTCTCTATAAATCGACCAGGTTGACTTTGAACTTGTAATTCTCCAGCCTCAGCCACCAGAGTTGCTGGGATAACAGATGTCCAAAATCCTATCTGGTTCACTTTTGGGTGGCTGTGTATCCCCCCTAATCCTTAACATAGTTTAAGAGCTAGGAGACTATATACTTTGTTATTCACATGAGGGACAATTTTAAGAACAAAAAGCAGTGCCAGGAACAGTGGTATATGCCTATAATCCTGACTTGGAAGGCTGAGGCAGGAGTATTGCAAGTTCCAGGCCAGCCTCAGCAGTTTAGAAAGACCTCAGCAATTCTGACTCTGTCTCAAAATAAAAAATTAAAAGGGGGAGCTGGGATTGTGGCTCAGTGGTAGAACACTCGCCTAGCACATGTGAGGGCCTGAGTTCAATCCTCAGCACCACATAAAGATAAATAAAATAGGGCTGGGGATGTGGCTCAAGCGGTGGCGCGCTCGCCTGGCATGCATATGGCCCGGGTTCGATCCTCAGCACCACATACCAACAAAGATGTTGTGTCCGCCGAGAACTAAAAAATAAATATTAAAAAAATTCTCTCTCTCTCTCTTAAAAAAAATAAAATAAAAAGATAAATAAAATAAGGGTACTGTCTTCAACTACAACTAAGAAACAAATATTTAAAAATTAAAAGGACTGGGATTACATAGCTCAATAGTAAAGTGCCCTGGGTTCAATCCCTAGTATCTTAAAAAAAAAAAAAAAAGAAAGCAGGTACTCTCAATGAGTTTTCTCTTAGCTTGGAAAAATTAAGACTATCTGGCCAAAATAGGTAGATGGCAGTCCAACTTACAGTGATCCATTCTATTCTTCTTTTTTCTTTTGTGTACCAGGGATTGAACCCAGGGGCACTCAACCACTGAGCTACACCTCCAGCCCTTTTTTCTATTTTATTTAGAGACAGGTGTGGTAGGCCGCCACCTCACGTGACCAGCAGACAGGGTCTTGCTGAGTTACTTAGGACCTCACTAAATTGCTGAAGGCTGGCTTTGAACTCTCAATCCTCCTGCCTCAGCCTCCAGAGACACAGGGATTATAGGCTTGCACCACCACACCCGGCTCTCCTCTTCATTTAGGAAAAATCTATGAAACTTCAGGCCCATCCTCCATCAGCTCAAAGCACAGGCCAAACAGCCTTAGTTTTCTGACCATCACATGGAGAATTCAAGAAAACTATAGTTACATTTAACAGTATGAAAAAAGCTCAAGCTACAAATGGAAGAAATACAATCTAAGAACACGGTATAAACTTTTTTTTCCTTAAAAATAAAATAAAAAAGACTCATTAAGTTTAAATGACTCATCCTCTTTTTTTTTTTTTTTTTTTTTTGTGTGTGTGTGTGTGTGGCCTCAAAGGGAGTAGAAAGGGGATTTAGGGCTGGCAAAGTAAACCACTTCTCTTGTGAAGCTGAATATGATCTGATAAGTACTCTAAAAAAGTTAATGAGGGTTGAGGGAGGAAAACACACAAACAAAAAAACAAAACAGAACCAGAGACAAATCCTCCCAGCAGAGCAAAATGGGACTGATACTGATATCAGGATTACAAATTTCTTTCTTTTTTTTTTTTCTGGTGCTGGAAATTGATCCCAGGGCCTTGTGCATGTGAGGCAAGCACTCTACCAACTGAGCTATAACCCCAGCCCCAGGACTACAAATTTCTTCTTTTGTTTAAGAGCTTTTTTAAAAAATATTTTGTTGTAGTTGGACACAATACCTTTACTTCATTTATTCATTTTTATGTGATGCTGAGTATGGAACCCAGCGCCCCACACCTGCTAGATGAGCGCTCCACCACTGAGCCACAACCTCAGCCCCAGAAAGAGCTTTTTTTTCTTTTTTTCTATAACTTTATTTTTTTAAATATTTATTTTTTAGTTGTAGTTGGACACAATACTTTTATTTTACTTATTATATGTGGTGCTGAGGATCGAACCCAGGGCCTCGCACGTGCTAGGCGAGCACTCTACCACTGAGCCACAACCCCAGCCCTTTAACTTTATTTTATTAACTTATTTTTATGTGGTGCTGAGGATCAAACCCAGTGCCTCACACATGCTAGGCAAGCACTCTACCACTGAGCCACAACCGCAGCCAGGACTACAAATTTCTAAAGACAGCCAGCCAGCCACTCCTGATTCCTGCCTCATACAATTCCTTATCAAAAACTTCTGGAGCTTTTGTTCCTAGATTAATCACCTGAATGTGAATGCAGTCCCACACTGAAGAAAGATTTCTCTCTCCTAGAAGTGAAAGATGTCATCTGAATAGGACATTCAGTTAAACAGGATTTCTCAGTACATCCTATTGTCACTGTGGTAGAACCTATAGAAAATTTTTGTTATCAAGCTAAAAATATGGTATCAGTGCAGTGGTGCATACATGTAATCCCAGTGGCTCTGGAGGCTGAGGCAGGAGGACCACAAGTTTGAGACCAGCCTCAGCAACTTAGGGAGGCTCCACACAACTTAGCGAGATCCTGTCTCAAAAATTAAAAAGGGCTGGGGATGTAGAATCCCTAGTACCAAAAATAATTAGATAAGTAAAATTTAAAAATGGATCAACAGGAGACTTGGCTGGATTTTCAACTATCCTCTATCCTGTGCAAAAGCCAAGCACTCACAATTTCCTGAGAAGTGATATTTAAACTATCACTTAACAGAAATGTTCAAACTTAACGGTGTGCCTGTCTAAATATGCCTTTTTTTATATAAGAAATATATATTCCTGGGTGGCCCCAGGAAATAGATGGGAAGAAAAGAAGAAAAGGGATCTTCATCTTCTTCATTTCATATTCTTTTTGTACTTAGTACAGAATAATCAAAAGCAATGTAAACCTCAGGCATCTGCCAGTAGGTCGTGTAAGCAGTTTACTCTCCGTTGTTCTTATTTTCTCCTTTCTCTAAGACCTGTCCAAGCTTGGCGCCGCTGACAGTTCCAAGATACAATCTCACCTTTAACAGCTCACAGTTTGGAAAGAAAGCTCTAGATCTTGCTCTTTGGGAGATGAATGCAGAGAAAAAAAGCCAGGATACCAGGAATATTGGGGAGGGACAAGTTTTTTCCCAGCTTTATAATGCTGTAGAGATATACGGCTGCGGGGAGGGGCCCGGGGAAGGGAGATGCCTGCAAAAAAATGTTTTTAGGGTCAAAGGCTGTTCATCAAACATTGGCAGAGAGCAGTCATTTGAGTTACTGGAGGAAAAAAACCATCCACTTACAATGGTGGCACAAAAACTCTGCATTAGTCTTCCAGTAAGAATTGGTTCCAAATTGCCTTATGCATTTAAACACTTTTTCCCAAATATGTTTTTCACAAGGAAAAAATTCAGGATAAGAGAATATTCATTTAAACCACACGAGGAATTGGGTGACTTTTAGGTATGTTAAAGATCAGAATGTMCTGCCCAGGGGAATTCGTAGAGTTTAAGATACCTTGGCCAGGCGCGGTGGCACATGCCTGTCATCCCAGCGGCTCGGAGGCTGAGGCAGGAGGATCGAAGTTCAAAGCCAGCCTCAGCAACGGTGAGGCACTAAGCAACTCAGTGAGACCCCTGTCTCTAAATAAAATACAAAATAGGGCTCGGGTGTGGCTCAGTGGTCGAATGTCCCCGAGTTCAGTCCCTGGTTACCCCTCAACCAAAAAAAAAAAATAATAATAATAAGAGATCTTCAAGGGAGACGTGCTCAGCCTCGTGTGTTTCTCCAGGGGCAGTACGACTCAAAAGCGGCCCSGGTGACCGCCGGTCGTTTCTGTCTGGCTAGCTTTTTGCTGCTGCTGGGGACAAGAGCCTGATGCGGCTTGGCAGTCAACAGGGCTGGGAGGGCCCACCGGCCGGGGGCACCCACCGGGAGTCCCGCAGTMGTGCCGGGGCCCACGCCTTCAAGCTTCCCGAGACTCGCGCACGTTAAGCCAGACGCCGCGGCGGAGGGCGGCCGAGCCGACGCGCCGGGTCCCACGTCGGGCTTACACCGGGGGAAGCCCACACCCGACGCCGCCGGCACCGGCGTCCGCAGCCCGCGAGGCGGAGCGGCGAGAGGCCCTGGCACTCGTCTCGGGCGGGCGGGCGGCAGCAGGCCGGGGAGTCCGACCAGAGCCGGACCAGGACTCGGCTCCGCGCTCCCGGCGGGCCGCGAAGGACGGGGACCCCGAATCGGGGCCCGGGAGCGGCCTCCTGCATGAGCTGGTGTTTGCTCCCCACGCTCCAAGCCTAGCCAGACCCCGGTCCCTCTCGCCACTCGGAGACCCCCGCACACGGCCCGTCTGCGCTTCCCGGACCCCATCCTCGTTCCTCAGCCAGACAGGGRTCCGTTACCTGCAGAGCAGCTCGACAACCCTGCAGGTAGTCCTCCATGGTGAAGTCCCAGGTGCGCCACCGCCCCTCGCGGAGGAGCGGTTACCCAGCGTGTGTACCCCACCCAGGACTCARAGGCCAGAGGCCAGAGTCAGTAGGCGGGACTCGAACCCGCCAGAGACTCGGCCTCCGACCCCGAGAGGAAGTGCGTAACCCGGCGATCCCGGAGGCCGACACCGCCCCGCCTCCCCCCCCAACCAGCGCCCAGAGACTCAAGGGACGTCCCTCCGGAAGGGGAGGGGCGCGGCGCAAGGCGTCCTGGGAAACGTAGTCCAGAAACTCCGAGATGACCCCAACATTTGAGGGAAGGAGAATTTTCTCAAGTGATTTGACACACAAATGTGTATGCGTCATAGTCCCTCATCTTTTGGCATCTGAACTCACTCTTCCAGAGGTGGCTAAGTATAGCATCTTTCCATATATTACACCAAGCATCTGGCTGACGTTTTAAATTATAACATGGCAAACGGCTCTCCATCTTCCTTTCTCAAATTTTCCCTTTCACCAAATTGACCCGTTGCCGCCGATTTTGTGGTTGTCCATGCTAGAAAAGCATTAGGATAATCTTTGACACCTCTTCTTTACTTAATACCTACAGTCTTGCCAACTCCTGCTTCCTTTAAAACTCTACAGCCTCACCCCGCGCGGTGGCGCGTGCCAGTAATCCCAGCGGTTCAGGAGGCTGAGGCAGGAGGATCCGGAGTTTCAAAGCCAGCCTCAGCAAAGCCCAGGCGCTAAGCAACTCAGTGAGACCCTGTCTCTAAATAAATGGGGATGTGGCTCAGTGGTCTAGTGTCCCTGAGTTTAATCCCCGATACCTGCCCCCGCCAAAAAAAAAAAAAAAAACCTCTATACAGCTTCACAAGAATTTCATTCCTTTCGTGGACTGTTGTAACCTTGGCTCTCTGCTCCTAGCCTCCCTCCTTGTTCCAACTGCTGTTTGGCTTTCAGACTTGCCTGAAGACTCAGCCTGTGGCGGCTGTGTAACTAGAGTTCAGTGGGTCCTTCAGAATGTACAGGGAGGTTCCAGCTTCCCTTAATAACTGCCACTTTCCAGACCCAGGGTATGCAGAGTACTGCCAAGAAAAGGTTCCCCTCATRATCAAATGTTCCTTTAAAAAACAAACAAACAAACAAACAAAAAAACAAGTATTGAACCCAGGGGTGCTTTATCACTCACTAATCCACATCTCCAGCCCTTTTAAAATGTTTTCAATCTTGAGACTTGGTCTCAAGTCCTGATAGAGACAGGGTCTCTATCTATTGGTTAGGGCCTATGTTGGCCAGGCTGGCCTCAAACTTGCCATTTTTCTACTTAAGTCTCCCTTGTTGCTGGGATTATAGCGTGATCCACCACACTTGCCTCTGTACCCTCATTTATTAATCTATGTTTTTATTTCCTACCTCCAGCCTCACCCAGCTTTTCCTCTTCCCTGAGCTGGAAGATGAGAGGAGGTGACCTCTAAGAAGCTGAGGCCTGTAGGAAACAAGAACCAGCGCACAGGCCCTTGTGTCTCCTCTTACTCTACTGGGTCTCCTGCTGTGCTCTCCACCCAGGACCTGCTGCCTCTGTGCACTACTAGGTGCACAGCCCAACCAGTGTCATTTCTAAACTAAGAAAGGAAGGAAGGGAGGAAGAAAAAAAGAAAGAAGTTTAAAAAAAGATACAGGGAAGACCTAGAAAGGAGCCCTCTAAAGGCTCCCAGAGAGACAGGAGCAGATTTTTTTTCCCTTTTTTRCATTAAATGAGTTAACATGCAAATATCATGCTCTTTGGCTCCGCTTCTGTGGATCCAGAGCAAAGGACTGCCGCACGCCGCCGGGAGAAAGCCCAGATCCAACAAGCTGCTGCTGTCCAGCTCTGCTCCTCCCTGCTCAGCTAGGGCACTTGCTCTTCCCTGTTCTCACCAGAGAGGCACAAGCGCTCCGTCCCTTCCAGCGGCAGGCGAAGGGAAGAGAAAGGGTCTGTTGTTTTTCTCTCCTTGTTTCTCTCTCCCTCTCTGCTGATTACCAAGCTGCTGACCGGATCAGAAAGCTCTAATGGAAATCCTCCAGTGCTGGGCAAACCCCTCCTCCTCCAGAGAGCTTGTCTTTGACTAATTTTTCTTTCTCCCAATGGGAAAAAGAGAGAGAGAGAAAGAGGAAAAAAGAAAACCCACAAACTTCCTTTGAAAACCAGTTTGTAGTTAGGGCCTGGAGTGCGCACGCGGAGACTCAGCCTCTCAAGAATCCTGAAGCCACTCTGAGCCACCACCGGGAGCACCTGGGCTGCGCCCCTGCTTGTCCTCACCCTACTGCGGTGCCCCAGTCCTGGGCGTGAGTCCGGAAGTAGCCACAACCCAGCCTGGACGGCCAGCCACGCTTGTAAAGCTGTGTCAACCTGTATAAGCTGTGGACAGCCGGCCTGGTGGTGCCGCTCGCTGATCCCACCTCCCCCATCAGACTGCCAGAGCTGAACCCTCCTGCTCCGTCCTGGAACTGCACCCACTTCTTTAAGGTAAAACTTTGTCTTAACCATCTTCTCCACCTCCTCTCCAGCCCGCAGCTCTCCTTTCCCTCCTCAGCTGGGGGACTTGACACCTGTCTGTCCTCCCATCTGTGGTCTCGGTAAGTCTGAATTGCTTAGAGGAGCTAAGGCAGGAGGAACTTGTAAATAGACGCTCCTTTTATCTCCTGCTTCTAGCCAAACCCTCCCCCCTCCTTGGAAGCAAGTAGACAGCACACTGTGGCAAGGTTTGATGATGAAGGGAAAATAGAAACCATTGATTGCGTGAGGATTTGGGTCAGGAGGAGATTGGTGTGGGACAATAAAGTACTTGAGGGGAGAGGAAAGATCCTGATGTGTGTGTGTTGGGGGTGTCTTCTTGAAGCTACCTACCTGTTTTGTTTCTTGCACTCTGACACTGACTAGGGAGTGGCCAGAGTTGTCTAACTCCCCCACCCACCACCATAGGTTAATTCAGCTGCAGGAAGAGTGTAGGGCTGAAAAGAGGACAAACAAAAACGGGTGAAATCCTGATTTGCTTGGGTTCCTCCCCCTCATCCTTTCCTACTCAGAAATACTCCAAGCTCTCACTACCAGGAGTGTACCTTGAGAGGGTGGAAACCCTGCATTACATTTCCTGCCCTGCCTCTTAGGACTTAGCCCACTTAACTCTGCCCAATTTCCCTAGAGTCCCCATTCCCTGTGGTGTTGAGCTCCTGGTTTCCTCTGGTTCATTCCTCTGGCCAGCCAGCTTCCCAGCCCCCACGTAATTATTGATTATTTCTAGCACTGGGCAGAAAATGAGTCCTGTTTTCTTCAAGCTTTTTTAACTTTCCCTGACTCTGACATCTGCTTCAAGACTCACCTTAAGTGCCATGTGGGAGGGGAGGAATAAAGGAGAGAGGGAAAAAAAATGTGTAAAGCCTTCACAGGCAATATTTGCTATTCTGATTCTAAATTAATAACATGTAAATGAATTGCAACTGACATGAATTATATTTGAATCAGGAGGATGATTGAATGACTAGGCTTATTTTTATTTTATTTTTTAAATTATTTATTTATTTATTTTTGCATTACAATTCTTAATATATCATTATACCATAATTTATCATATCTCTGATTATATATAAGGTATGTTGACACCAAATTCACATCTTCATACTAGGCCTATTTTCATTTCAGTTAATTTAACGTTCCTCATCCTCATTGGCCAGGCCTTCCTCCTAGCCCCAAATTCCTGCATCTTTACAAGAAAAAAAGTATAACCCCAGGAGAGGAGGGAACTGGAGAAAAGGCAAAGGCAAGATCTTTAACCTGTTTAATTTCTACTTTTTTTTTTCCCCTGACTAAAGAGTAGGGAGGGGAGTAAGGAGATTGAAGGGGGATGGTTTCTAGAAGCCAGGGTTTGTGGCTTTTTACCCTTTGTTACCCAGTGTTGATTAAACGTCTATCTATGCCTGACTTGATGCTTAGTGCTGATAGAGAACAAGTTAAACAGGCCTAATCTTCACATCAAAAAGCACAGAGATGGAAACAGACATAAAGAACATAACATAACAGTGTAGGGAGTATTTTTTAAGTCAATCAATAATCAGCATTTCTCTTTTCCATATAAATAGTGGGCAAGAGAGTATCTCTGGGGTCAGGCAGATTGGGAGAAAAAAGAACTACTGGGAAGTTGTTAACTCCAACTGTCCAGAGAAGCTACTGGAAGAATTTGCAGTGGGGCAGTCCTTTTTCTGCCCCCAATTTGAAGTTACTTATCTAAGGCACTCTCTAATTCAAGTCCCTATAACCTACATTTCCCCTCTGCAGCCTACAGGAAGCTCCTCCCAAGACATTTTTGCTGTGGTTTGGGCTTGTGTAAGGTTTGGTAGACTCCTTTGAGGAGAAAGACTTCCCTTCCTCACCAGCACATCACTTTTAGGAGCATGACACTGCATCTCCACTCCACCCCTGTCACTTTTCACCTTTGGGGTGACACAGGGAGACGGTACCCATGAGAATCCAAGCAGCCTATGTGTGCTCAGGTTGTTTCATGGAGGGGTGGGATTTGGTGTAAGGGAGGAACTGCCCATGTCCTGGCTGTTGTGCAGGCTACTGATATGATGCCCTTTCCAAGGTTGGTGGARGGTTATCATATTTAACCATTAGGATCCTTTGGTTTGTTTAGGATAGTTTTGGTTTTCCTTTTTTTTCCAGTCCTGGGTACTGAACCAAGGCTTCACACTTGCTAGGCCATGAGCTGCACCCCTAGCCGACAGAAACAGACACCTCTGAATTAGGATAGTTTAACATTTCTTTGTCCATCTATTTTCCTCCTTCTCTGCTACATCTCCCTTTTTCTTTATCATTATCTGTTTCAGAGAAGCTGGCTCCACTCAGTGTGTTCAGTCCCTCCAGAACTATCACTCTCAAGCCTAGAAGCCCAAGGCACTGTTGGTTCCATCTGGTCACAAGTTAAAAGTGGAAAGATCTCAGTCTGAATCCTGTTTATGCAAGCTGAGAAAGGCATGTACTACTTGTAGCCAGGAGTGCCTGTGCAGATACACAGCCAGCCTTCCATACAGCATTCATTTTCTAAGACTTCTCTGGGTGGCTTTGCTTTCTGGCTCAACGATCTTCTTCTTACTGGACAGGTCTATGTTTTGCCTACGAAGACTGACATAGGCAAGCCCTTGAGGTTAGGAAACATCCTCAGCATCCCTCGGTTGACTCCCTTTCCATCATGGAGCACCCTCAGCCTGAACATCCGTCCTCGGGTAAGGCCAGGAATGCAGAAACAGACACCTCTGAAAACCAGGAGGTCCTATCAGGACCAGATGAGTACCCTCAGGACCAAGACACCAGAGATGCTGATGAGGAAGCTGCAAAACAAGAGCCAGGAGACCAAGCTTTGTTACCAACCCAGAGTGGGGAGAACCTTGAGTCCCCTCCTCCTGAAACTAACTCAAGTCAACCTGGGCCATCCTGTAGCATGTCACCTGAGGTAGAGACACTAGGAGCATGCTCCAAGCCCCAGGAGCTTCCCCAGTCTCCGAGGACCCGACAGACTGAGCCAGATTTCTACTGTGTAAAATGGATCCCCTGGAAGGGAGAACGGACACCCATCATCACCCAGAGCACTAATGGTCCTTGCCCTCTCCTTGCCATCATGAATATCCTCTTTCTTCAGTGGAAGGTAAGAGAAAGTCTGACATGAACTCAGAAATTATGGGGAACACTCTTCCCTGACCCACCTCCCTTTTATCCTGATTTTCTCAAAGCAATCTGAACTTTKCAGATTATTCTCTGTACTACTCCTGTCTCTCCTGTTCTCTAGCAAATAGGAAGACCTTGTAGTATTTCACATTTATTCTGTTGCTCCATTTCAAACCTTTTCCTCCCAACCCTAAATACCACAGGGCACCTCTCTCCACTGTTCTTCCTTTGTGCTCTGAAAGGGAGACACACACAGAATCACTCCTTTTACCCTAGGTGAAGCTATCTCCCCAGAAGGAAGTGATCACAACAGATGAGCTCATGACCCACCTTGGTGAGTAATTGGGCCTTTTTTTTTTTTTTAAAAAGAGAGAGAGAGAGAGGAGAGAGAGAGAGAGAGAGAATTTTTAATATTTATTTTTTAGTTCTCGGCGGACACAACATCTTTGTTGGTATGTGGTGCTGAGGATCGAACCTGGGCCGCACGCATGCCAGGCGAGCGCGCTACCGCTTGAGCCACATCCCCAGCCCAGTAATTGGGCCTTAATGAGGAATTTCCTAAGGGGTTCCAGAGCTATCCCCTCAACCAGAAATTAGACTACCAAGGGATCCTCATTCTGGGTTCTAACGTAGCAGGGAAGCTAAGGGTCATTGGGCTTCTCTGCAAGGCTGGAGGATAAAGCCAAGGTCAAGATGTCAGGAATCCTGAGCCAAGTGTGGTGGTACATTCCTGTAATCCCAGGCTGAGGGTGGGAGCTGAGGCAGGAGGATCACAAGTGTGAGGCAAGCCTCAGCAATTTAGTGAGATCCTGTTTCAAAATGAAAAAAAAAAATAAAATAAAAACTTCTGGGGAGGTAGTTCCATGGTTAAGCTCCCTTGGGTTCAATCCCCGTATTAAAAAAAAAAAAAAAGTCAGGAGTCCTGAGTTATAACACCAATTCTGCTCTTAGCCTTTTTCTTTTCTTTTTTTCTTTTTTTCAGTTCTGGGGATCAACCCAGGGGTTGAGCATGCTAGGCAAGTGCTCTACCAGTGAGGTATTCCCCCCGTTTCTGCCCTTAGGTTTTGAATGTGAACTTGAGTAGGTCCTTCCCAGTTACAAGCCTGTTTCTTCCTCTGAGAAATGAAAGGTCTGAATTAGACTCTAAGGACCTTTCCAGTTCTAAAAATTTGTGGTTCTGTGACATTATCCCCATTCTCCAGGAAAAGAGGAAGCTGAGCCTTAGGACAAGTGGTGGGGCAGGTTGATAAAGTATCCTGTCTTATAGGAAACTGCCTCTTGTCCATCCAACCTCAGGGAAAATCAGAGGGACTTCAGCTTAATTTTCAACAGGTAAGGCAAGAAGTCCGGAGACTTAGGGGTTTTGTGGTTTGGAAGGGGACACTGGAACTATCGAGAGAAGCTGTTTGCTGCATCTTAAGAGGGCTCCTTGAACTTCTGCAGGTGTAAGAGAGGATGTTATATCTCTATCCTGGAAAAGATTTCCTTTATATAAGATAAAGAAGGATTGAATCAGGGGAGGAATAGAATGGCTTGTAAGAATGTTAGGGAAGAAAAGCAACAAGTTTTGTTTTGTTTTTTTCCTGGACGTGGGAGTGGGAAAGGAGGCTAGGCTGTTCATCATTTTTTTTTCAATCCCCAGAATGTGGACGATGCAATGACAGTGCTGCCAAAGCTGGCCACCGGTCTTGATGTCAATGTGCGATTCTCAGGAGTCTCTGACTTTGAGTACACACCCGAATGCAGTGTCTTTGACCTACTAGGCATACCTCTGTACCATGGCTGGCTTGTTGATCCACAGGTGATGGTGGAAGCCCCCCTGAGTCCTTTACCTCGCTGGAGCTGACCTGCGTGAGGCAAAATGTTGTGGGTTGGGTGCCCGGGGTAGGAGTTAGATTGGCTTGGGAGGGGAGTAGAATTTGGAGACTGAATTTCTTGAATTTTAGCCTTTTTTTTTTTTTTTTTTCTGGTAGAGGTAGCATTCTAGTACAAGCAAACCATATGCAAATATGCAAATAGGATCAGTTCTTTTTTTAACATATATGTTTGTTTTTTTTTAAACTTTTTTATTTTGAGAGAGAGAGAGAGAGAATTTTAATATCTATTCTTTAGTTTTCGGCGGACACAACATCTTTTTGTTTGTATGTGGTGCTGAGGATCGAACCTGGGCTGCACGCATGCCAGGCGAGCGCGCTACCGCTTGAGCCACATCCCCAGCCCCCAGAATCTGATGTTTTTTTTAAATTTATTTATTTTTTAGCTTTAGGTGGACACAATATCTTTATTTTATTTTTATGTGGTGCTGAGGATCGAACCCAGGGCCACACACCTGAAGGCGAGTGCTCTACCACTGAGCCACATCCCCAGCCCCATAGAATAAGTTCTTTATTTTTTTTAAAGAGAGAGTGAGAGAGAGAGAGAGAATTTTTAATATTTATTTTTTAGTTCTCGGCGGACACAACATCTTTGTTGGTATGTGGTGCTGAGGATCGAACCCGGGCCGCACGCATGCCAGGCGAGCGCGCTACCGCTTGAGCCACATCCCCAGCCCCATAGAATAAGTTCTTTATTTTTTTTAAAGAGAGAGTGAGAGAGAGAGAGAGAATTTTTAATATTTATTTTTTAGTTCTCGGCGGACACAACATCTTTGTTGGTATGTGGTGCTGAGGATCGAACCCGGGCCGCACGCATGCCAGGCGAGCGCGCTACTGCTTGAGCCACATCCCCTAKAATCAGTTCTTTAGACATCAAAAATTGAGGAACTGGGCTGCGGTTGTGGCCCAGTGGTCGAGCACTTGCCTACCATGTGTGAGGCACTGGGTTTGATTCTCAGCACCATATATAAATAAATAAAATAAAGGTCCATTGACTACAAAAAAAAAAAAATATATATATATATATTAAAAAGAAAAAAATGTTCAGGAACTGCTGCTCTAAGTGCAGTAGCACACACCTGTAATCCCAGTGACTTGGGAGCCTGAGGCAGGAGGATCTCAAGTTCAGACCCAGCCTCAGCAACTTAGCCAGGCCCTAAGGACTGAGTGAGACCCTGTTTCAAAAGAAAACAATGTTAGGAGGATGAGGTGGGAAAGGTACATTCATTCATTGCTGGTGGGACTGCAAATTGGTGCAAACCACTGTGGAAGGCAGTATGGAGATTCCTCAGAAAACTTGGAATGGAATCACCATTTGCCTAAGTTATCCCACTCCTTGGAATATATCCAAAGGACTTAAAATCAGCATACTGTTGCAACATGGCCACATCAATGTTTATAGCAGCTCAATTCATGATAGCTAAGCTATGAAACCAAACTATGTGCCTTTCAACAGATGAATGGATAAAGAAAATGTGGTATATATACACAATGGAGTATTACTCAACCATAAAGAAAAATGAAATTATGGCATTTCATAAATGGATGGAACTAGGGGCTGGGAATGTGGCTCAGGCGGTAGCGCACTTGTCTGGCATGCGTGCGGCCCGGGTTCGATCCTTAGCACCACATACCAACAAAGATGTTGTGTCCGCCGAGAACTAAGAAATAAATATTAAAAAAAAAAAAAAAGAAATGGCTCAGTGGTGGGCTGGGGTTGTAGCTCAGTGGTAGAGCACTTGCCTAGCATGTGTGGGGCACTGGGTTCAATCCTCAGCACCACATAAAAATAAATAAATAAAAATAAAGGTATTGTGTCCACCTACAACTAAAAAAACATTTAAAAAAATGACTCAGTTGTTAAAAGACCCTGGGTTCAATCTTGGTCCCCAAACAGAACACTTTGATCATAAGGTCATAGTCTTTGTGGGCTTCCTTTCTTTCCTTAAATAAACTCAACATTCTTTCTCACTCCCCACCCTGCTCCCTGAATGTGCAGAGTCCAGAGGCTGTGAGCGCAGTTGGGAAACTGAGTTACAACCAGCTAGTAGAGAAGATCATCACCTGCAAACACTCCAGTGACCCCAACCTCGTGACAGAAGGTGACATCCCTCCTCCCTCATGGATCTTATGCGAAGGGTAGAATAGCTGCTTAGGTTCATTGTTTGTTGTCTCCTGCCATTCTCCCACTAGAGTGTAAGCTCCCTAAGAGAAAGTTTGGGAAATTTGTCTGTTTTATGCAGGGATACATCTTCCCTCTCCGCGGCCTCCTGGGCTTAGTGTAGTGCCTCACATGAGGTAGCTGCTCAATATCATTTTCCCTTCTTTCTTTTTTTTTTTTTTAAGGCACTGGGGACTGTACCCAGGGCACTCTACCGCTGAGGTTCACCCCCAGCCTTACTTATTTATTTATTTGTATCACTGGGGATTGAACCCAGGAGTGCTCTACTACTGGTACTACTGGGCTATATCTTGAGCCCTTTTTATTTTTTATTTTGAGGGTCTCAACAATAAATTGCTGAGGGCCTTATCAAGCTGCTGAGGCTGGCTTCAAACTTAGAATACTCTTGCCTCGACCTCCTGAGTCACTGGGATTACTACAGGCGTGTGCCACTACACCTAGCCCTTTTTTGTTGTTTTTAGTCAGCTGATTTTCTTTCTTTCTTTTTTTTTTTTTTTTTAATCTGGATTCGTAGCTTCTGTGTAGATATCACATCTGACAATGGTGGTACCTACTTGTCATAGCCACAATCAGTGGGTGATGAATTGTGGCTGCCTCTTTGGATAAGGTGAACCAAGTTCTCCCTGGCTTGACATTTAGCAGTTTTGCCTCTTTTCTGCCTAATCCCTATAAATATTTGAGACAACACACCTTGGGGGTTTTTTGTTTTTGTTTTATATCAGGGATTGAATCCAGGGTTGCTTAACCACTGAGCCACATCTTCAGCCTTTGTTATATTTTACTTTGAGACAGGGTCTCGCTGAATTGCTGAGGCTATCCTCAAACTTGTGATCCTCCTGCTTTAGCCTCCTGAGTAGCTGGGATTATAGGCATTACCACCACCCCTGACAAGGGATTTTAGAAAGTCAGATTCAGAAGGACTTTTGACAGGTACTCTTTGGATGATCCTTCCTATCTTGGACTTCATTTTCTTTCATTTATTTTTTGATGGTGCAGGGGGTTGAACCCACAGCCTCCTACACACTAGGCAAGTGCTTTACCACAGAGCTGAGCTATATGCCCGGTCTTTTTTTTTTTCCTTTTAATCATGGACTTTGGATGTAAGCCAGATTTCTCCCATCTTATGCCTTCTGGTAGGCTTGATCGCAGAGCAGTTCCTGGAGACCACTGCAGCACAGCTGACCTACCATGGCCTGTGTGAGCTTACAGCAGCTGCCAAGGAGGGTGAACTTAGTGTCTTTTTCCGCAACAACCACTTTAGCACTATGACTAAGCACAAGGTGATAAGGGTTTGGAGGTGTTGGGGGGTTGGGGTGCTGTGGTTTCCCCATGCCTTTTTCTTCTGGGTCTGTTTCTTCTGGGTCAGTCAGGATAAGGTGAGTTAAGCTGCAGTAACAAWTATCACTGAAATCCTTGTGGTTTACCACAAACAAATGTTTTTTTCTCACTCATACTATGTGTATGTCTAATGAAGATTGGCTACATTCTGACCCATTCCATCTTCACTCTAGGGCCAGGCTGACCAAAAAGCCTTAATCTGAAATATATGCAGGGAAAGAGAGAGGAACACTGTTGTACACTCACTGTTAGTGCTTCTGCCCGGAAATGGTCATTTCTGCTCATATCTCAGAGGCCAGACAAAGCCATAAAGGATAAGTCCACCATCAGTGGAACAGGAAGCTACAATCCTCTCCCTGAAAGGGGCAGTGGAAATTTTTAACACCACCACAGTCTTTGAGAGTTAAAAATTGCCGAAGCTCTCTAAGAGTTCAGTAGAAGAGAAGTCTCTGGTTCCCAAAGAATTTATTCCCACCGCCATCAAAAGAGACCAGAGGACCATAAGAAATAGGGTGAAAAGCATGGTCTTAGGTTGCATCCCAACAAATGTTTTTTTTCTCAATCATACTATGTGTATGTCTAATGAAGATTGGCTACATTCTACACTTGACCAAAATAACCACCATACTTACACCCAACTCCACATGGACATACACTCAGACGTCCCTTCCCTCTCCATACTGTGGGTGCGTGTATTCCGTAGGCTAACACTGTGGAGTTCCAGCCAGCACATCACTTAATTCAAGTGGTCTGTGCATCTCAGGTAATGTTGGGAAGTAAATTGCCTCTGTGTCACTTATCTCACCAGTTGGCTGTCCTTTTCTTTGCAGAGTCATTTGTACCTACTGGTCACTGACCAGGGTTTTCTCCAGGAGGAGCAAGTGGTATGGGAGAGCCTGCACAACGTGGACGGAGACAGCTGCTTCTGTGACTCTGACTTCCACCTGAGTCATTCCCTCAGCCAGGGCCCTGAAGCACAAGGTGGGGGTAGCTCCCCAGAGAAGCAGCTACAGGTAGACCAGGTATGTGGGCCTTTGGGGAAGGTGCCCAGAGCTCCTGTGCCTCACAGAGTTTTTTGCTGTAAGAGAGCCACGTGTGATTTATTGTGTCAAGGCCACATCCCTAACACCCCTGCGCCTTCACTCTGCTGCCTTCAGATCATCTCCTTGTTTGCATTTTCTGGCACCAGGGATACAGCTGGCTGTGTGTTTTCCCCTGGAGGGAGAGAAGTTGGAGAATTTGAAGRAAAGCCTAGTTTGGAAACCTTGCTTGAGTCTCCCTCCCTGCCAGCCTTTGCCCACCTGGGAACTCTTGTTCTCTCTAGGATTACCTGATGGCCTTGTCCTTGCAACAGCAGCAGCAGCCACAAGGAATGCTGGGCCTTAGTGACCTGGAGCTGGCCCAGCAACTTCAGCAAGAGGAGTATCAACAGCAGCAACCAGTCCAGCCTGCACAGATGCGGGCCCTGTCACCCCAGGTAAGCCTCTGTCACCTTCCCTTAGCGGGGCCAGACCACCCGCTGTGCCTTGTCCAGGTCACTTGTTGTTTCTGCACTGGTCTCTTCAAGGTGTCCCTTGGGACCTTTCTCTTGCTGGACCCTCTTCCTGTAACCCCTTCCTGTTTTTCTCTCCCTATAGTCCCTCCTGATCCTGACCCCCTAACCCCTTGAATCTCAGTCCTCTACTCTTCCAAAGTTGTTGGATGACCAAATGTTAAATCCCGCACAGGGGAGAGGAGCCACGTCAGGACGCCCAGCCGGGGAGCGCCGACAGAGGCCGAAGCAGGAGTCGGACTGTACTCTGCTATAGCTCTGCCCGCTGCTCTTCTGAGCTGCCCAGTTTCTCAGAAGCTGTGGTTAGGTTGCTGCTCCCCCATCTCAACCCCTGAGATACATGGGGTAGCTTATTTATGGACTGTTGGGGGTCAGACCAGGCAGTGGTAGATACCAAGGTCAAACTCGGTAATGTCCTTGCCCTCGTATGCTGCTGCCTTCTCTTCCTCCCAGGGCAACACTGGGATGGGCCGGGTGCAGATGTCTGATTCCTAACTCCCTTTCCCAGAATAATCACATGAACACACAGACTCAGGCTACGGGGTGAGGGCCTATCTGGGCTGCACATCTCTCCCTCCTCCCTACCCAGCAGGTCTGTCTCCTTTTGCTTCAGGGTTTGATTTGGGTTTCTATATCTGTTATTTGTAATGCCTTCCTAGGGGTTTGGAAATAAAATTCTTTCCTGAGATGTTGTTGGCTTCCCCTGCAGCCATGGGGTTAAGTATTTGACCCAATTGAGGAATGCAAAGCGGGTGGGGAGAGGGAGGCTGCTGCCTGTGGTTTCTAACAGAGCCAGCAGGGGGAACCCAAGCCTGCCTTTTTCCTCCTCTTTTTGACACTGTCATAGGTGTTCCATGAGAAAGGCCTGGTTTTCAAGATCCCTGCTTGGACAGATGAACTGGAGCTGGGAATTTGAGAAGTTACCAAGACTTCCCAGGGTTGGGAGGGCAGTTTAACCCTTTGCTTTCCTCCTACTTCTCACAGATGGTCCTTTGCTACCTCCAACCATTTCTGACCTCATTCTTCTGCTTGTTCCTCAATTAATTTGCCTGAATTTCCTGGGGTAAGGAGAATAATGAATGTGAGGATAGACGTGGTGGGTGGAACATGTTGATAACTGCAACACTGGGGCAAAAACAGGATTCCCATTGAATAGCCAAGTGCACTTCAAAGGTGCTTCAGCTCCAAGGCGTCTTCCTGGTCTGTGTCCTGCTCCACCCGAAGTTCAGTCAGAGAACACAAACAACAGTAAAGTTTGCCAAAAAGAATTGGAGTACCAGAGAGATGTTCTGGCCAGGGTATGAGAAAGATGAGTGGGATAGAAACTATCAAAGAAATCCCACTACCCTTCTTCCAGGATAGAGCTAGAGGACCCAGGTAAAGATAACATTTTGAAATGAAAGAAATTAGGGATTTAAAAGATACAGTTCAGCCTTAACAAGAAACTTGGTGTGCGGGGCACCATGAAGGGTCATCCTATTTAGAGGCCCAGCTGGTCTCCTGCAGGCTTAGCCAAACATGGGCATCTGAGATCCTTGAATGTCACATGGAGGTCGGGGAAGGGAGGCCTCAAATGTCTTCAGCTCTGCACAGGGTCAGAAGGGCTGACCGGCAATCCCCTGTGACGGCATCCTGCAGACAAGGAAGTCAAATGTTAGAAAGACCCACCACCATTCCATGGACCAAGCACTCTGATCCCTCCCTCCTGCTGGTCCATAGCTCATCAAGGAGGGAAGATCCTCCCTGATGCTTGGAGTCTTGCACTCAATGAACTAATTGTTCATGAGATCTATAAGGGAAGAATATGCTCTGCTGTGAGCAGGAAAGATGGGTATCGGTGAGGAATGAAACTCCAAGGCTCCAGGTTAAGAACTAGCCAAATTTCACCTGGAGAGAAGAATAGAGGGACTTTCCAAATTTCTTCTTGAACTCAGCTCGGATGCTTAGAAGGTCAGTCTCACTTCGAGAGATAAGGATGCGCATCAGGACTTGGTAATTGGGCTCAGACTCCTGGTGAAAGGAGAAACAGATGGGGAAGGAGTAGTCTGTAAGATACGCACAAGAGAAGGGATTGAACAAGAAGTGGTGCACACCTTGTGTCTTCCCAGCAACTCAGGAGTSTGAGACAGGAGGAACACAAGTCTGAGGCCAGCCTCAGCAACTTAGTGAGGCCCTTAGCAACTTAGTGAGACTCTATCTCGAAATAAAAACTAAAAAGGACTGGAGATGTAGCTCAGTGGTAAAAGCACCCCTGGGTTTAATTCCCAGAAAAAAGAAAGAAGGAAAGAAAGAAAGGAAAAAGAGGGTTGAACTGCAGGAGGGGTTATTTTAGGAAGTAGAGGTAAGGTAGAATCCTGGAAAAAGAGAGGTAGACATTACTGTAGGGGCAGAAGTCATCTTTGTTCATCCTCATGGAACATGATCAGCCCCTGAGTGGGCAGCATGAATACTTCTTCCTCCCCTATGTCTTTCCTGGCCCTGCCACTAGCTTACAGCCCCACTCCCCCACAGCTGGGTGGTGAGCGGCTCCAAAGGGTCCATCAGGGAGGCTAGAAAAGGCTCCCTGGGGTGAGGGGAGGGAAAGGATAGGAAAAATGAGATTGATCAAATTAGGTTATGCACATGTACAAAGATGGCAAAATGAACCCCACGTTCTGTGTGGTTATGGTGTACCCATACAAATGGTGTACCCATATGTGTGTGTGTGTGTGTGTGTGTGTGTGTGTGTGTGTGTGTAGATAGACAGATAGATAGATAGAAAATTTGTTTGTTTGTTTATAAAAGGGCTGGGGAAATGGCTCAGTAGTTCAGTGCACCCGGGTTCAATACCGGGCATCAGAAAAAGAAAAAAGAAAACATTTTGCTGTATTTCATTTGGACTCATTTTTAAATTATCAGTGGACCTGATGGCTACTTCATTTTAACTTTATTAGTTTTATATTGTCTTAAAGATTGTCAGTTGCTCTCTACTATCCATTTTTCCCTTCTTCCAATTTTTGTCCCTCCAAAATTGTTGAACTGGACCAAAAAACACTCCTTAACTAAATATTCTCTTTGGTGTACAAGTGTTCTTTACACTTGATACTTGAGAGTAGACTTGGCATCCCATAATCCCCCAGGACTGTCATTGTGAATATTCATTTTTAAGTTCAGATTGGTCCAAATGACCCTCAAATCAGTCTTTGCTGAAGGTCATTTTTCTGAATAAACATTCTTTACAATCTATGTTTCCACATATCTCTAATTTTTTTTTTAAGAAAGAGTGAGAGAGAGTGAGAAAGAGGGAGAGAGAGAGAGAGAACTTTTTTCTTTAATATTTATTTTTCAGTATTTGGTGGACACAGCATCTTTGTCTGTATGTGGTGCTGAGGATCAAACCCGGGCCGCACGCATGCCAGGCGAGCGTGCTACCACTTGAGCCACATCCCCAGCCCCACATATCTCTAATTAAAAAAAAAAAAATTTACTAGAACTGGGAGCAGTGACACATACCTTATAATCCCAGTTCCTGGGGAGGTTGAGGCAGGAGAATCACAAGTTTTAGTTCATCCTCAGCAATTTAGTGAGACCCTGTCTCAACTTTTTAAAAATTAAAAAAGGATTGGGAATGTAGCTCAGTGGTAGAGCACTTGCCTAGCAAACACAGGTCTTGATTTCAATCTCCTATACTTGGGAGAAAGAAAGTACAAGGTTATTCTGAATGAATTTTTTCCTTTTAAATTTTTACAGAAGGGCTGGGAATGTAGCTCAGTGATCCAGTGCGTGCCTACCTGGGTTCAATCTCCAACCCCACAAAAATAAAAGCAAAACTTTGAAGATGCTTTAAAAATTTTTACAAAAAAATGGGCATGTACTCTTTTCAGAATCCTGAGATAAATCTTGCATTTACATTAAAAAATGTGGGTCCTGTATTTCAAATGGACTATAATTTACTGTTTATTTGTTGGGGGCGGTATGGTGGTGGGGATTGAACCCACAGCCTTGTGCATGCTGGCAAGTGCTCTGTCATAGAGCTATGGCCCCAGCCCACAAGTTTGTTGCTATAACAAAAATTTTAGACAGCTAACCATAGCTCTTCAAATGAATCTTGATGTTGACTCATAATGATCCAGGCTTTCTTGGTCAAGTATAATAATTTACTGTCGAGATGGAAATCTCTGGATAAAAGAGCAAGTGTTTGACTATATTTTGAGTAGTCATCAACAAGGCATGGTAACTTCTAAACCAGTATACAGAAAGCTATTTCATCTACCAAAATGAGAGTTATTACTATTACTACTTCTACTACTACTACTACTACTATTAGTAGTAGTAGTAACAGGGATTGAACCCAGTGGTGTTTAATCATTGAGCCACCTCCCCAGTCCTTTTTATGTTTTATTTTGAGACAGGCTCTCACTAAGTTGCTTAGGGCCTAGCTAAGTTGATGAGGCTGGCTTTGAACTTGCCATCCTCCTGCCTCAGTGTCCTGAGCTGCTAGGATTGCAGGTGTGTGCCACCATGCCCGGCAAAAAATGAGAACTCTTCTATCTTTTTCACATTTCACATTTTCTCCAACTTGGTGATTTTTGTTAACCCCTACTGTTGTAGGGATGCTCTACCAACCGCTGAGCTATATCCCCATCCCTTTATTTTTTATGTTGAGACAGTACCAAGCTGCCCAGACTGGCCTCAAACTTGCCACCCTTCTGCCATAGCCTCCTGAGTTACTGGAATTATAAGCGTGAGCCATTGCACCCAGTGCAAACATTTTATATGCAGGTTTTGGGGGACAGTTTTTATAGGAGAACTGGTTCATTTGTGAAGAATGAGTAGATTTTGTTGTGGAATTACTCCAACCAATGTCACCATTAATAATATGGAACAAAATCTGACCAATGTAGAGAAAGGGGGTCCTGGATACTAAGAGCACTTATCACTGACAAAGTATCGACACAGGACAGTAAATGTCTGATACCATTTAGTGTTTTATAAGGAGACTGTATGATTTACTGGCTGTGTGACTTTAGGCAAGGTACTTAACCTCTTTTGTTTTTTCATGTACAGAATAAGGATGGAGTATGGTTGTGGGGATTCATTGAAATATGTGTTATAGACTCAGAATAGGCTCTGGCACCCACTGAGCACCTATGAAATGCTGGGTCTTATTCTTGCTAGTGTTATCTTCATCACCTCTGACTACAGTGGATACTGGATAAGGAAGTCACTGTCCGTAAATCCATCAGGGATCGGGCTGTGGCTCAGGGGTAGAGCACTTGCCTAGCATGCCTGAGGCACTGGTGTTTGATCCCTGGCACCACATAAAAATAAACAAAATGAAGAAATTGTGTCCATCTACAACTATATATATATATATATGAAAGAAATCCATCACCTGGTGATTAATGAGGCCAAACCTTAGCGTTAGTGCTCTTATGAGTCAATTAACTTAGTTCTAACCACAGCCTTCTCTTCCGCTTTGATGAGACGGTGTGTAGACACAGGAGAAGACACCCACTGTAGAGTTGTAGTTTATGTGAGACTGTCACCTTAACAGCTGGCGGGAAGAGTCTCCCCAGATTTTGTGGAAAGGGAGGAAAGAGCGCACTTCTCACCTGGAGGGCTCGGTGAAGTTTGTCGGCAAAGTACAGCGGCGTGTTCCTGATCACCGAGGCTGGAAGCGAACAGGGGGACGGAGGAGCTCAGGGGGGCCCGGCCCAGCAGAGGCCCCGCTGCACACAGGGACACTCCCTACCTAGGCTGAGCAGGGCGGCCCGGGCCTCTCCACGGAAACGGGTGCGCACGGCCTCCTCCAGCTCCTGCCCCGTGCGCCGCTGGTACTGCTCAAACACTGGGTGTGCGGGAAGTCAGAAAGTGGGGCTGGTGGGGGGACCCCCAACCCCCCAGCCCACGGTCAGGGCAGCCGGGGATGAGAAGGCCCCTGCCTACCTCGGGTGAGGTGTTTGGGGTTGCGCTGGGTGAGGATTAGGACCCATGATCCCTGGGTGCTGCGCCCTTCGTCCTGCCCATCCTGCCGCAGCGCCTGGGAGGGGAAGGAGCAGCAGGAGTGCATCAGGTCATTGGAGGGGTCAGCGCAGCCACGGTCATGGTGTTCCCGAACGTACCACGAAGGAGATGGGATTAAGGATGGAAAAGGTGATTTTTAAACTATAAATTCATTGTTCTATTTATGGTTTTTAAAAAAGAAAGGAATCGGGCTAAGAGAAGGGCCCTCACAACTCTGTTCCCTGAGTTGGAAAAATCCTGATCTTTAAGGAATTAAGTAATCCCTCACCCCATGCCCAGGAGAGGGGACTGGGAGGCAGAGTCAAAACGAGGGAAGAGGCTCTTGCTACCGTGTCCCAGGCGCCTCCCCAAGTGGGTCCCAGCTCCCAGGCTCTAAGACACAGTGGTGAAGGGACAGTGGTGAAGTGGTGGGCATGGCCGTGAAAACCCCTCGGCCCCTGGCTCACCTGGACATCCTGCTCTGCCAGATTGTAGTCAATAATTCCAGAGTAGCTCTCCCGGCCCCCCTAGAGGAGAAAGTGTTCTCAGAAGGCTCTTTGAGAGGCAGGTGTTTGTTTTTGTTTTCTTTGTTCCTGAAGATTAAACCCAGAGGTACTTTACCACTGAGCTATGTCCCCAACCTTTTTTATTTTTTGTTTTGAGAGAGAGTCTTGCCAAGTTAGGGAGGCTGGTTTCAAACTCGGGGTCCTCTTGCTTCAGCCTCCTGAGTTGTTGGGATTAGAGGTAGGGGCCCCTGCACCCATCTTGAGAGGCAGCTTCTGATCTTCAGACTGAGAAGCCAAACCCTGGCCTCCTTAAGGTGCTCTCCTGTCCACCTCATGACACAGTGCTTCCTGCTCTTGCCTGTCCCTGACCTGATGAGTGTAATTCCTCCTCACCTTGGCCAGGGCCAGGAGCAGGTCCCGCAAGATGCCACTGGTCTTAGACTTGATGTCGTCCTCAGCCTCCACCTGGAAATCTGGGGTGGAGACAGGAGCTCTTGGTTCCTGCTGATATTCCCCAGGGTAGACAGCCACAGTGCCTGTCAAATTGCTGACCCCTTGTGCCCTGCCATCTCCTGCTTAAAGTAGCTTGATGCCTGCTTGTTCTCAAAATGTCAGGCACAAAATCATCCTGACCACTCTGACGGCCTCCCTAGGCCGTGAGCTGTGCGCTGACTTCAATCTGAGCTCCAGCTGCCAGGCAGGAGGCATCTACTCATTATGAGAGTGGTGGCCAGCAAGGAAGAGGGAAAAGRACACCTTACTGTGAAACAAGAGGGCTAAGGCCTGGCCCTCCAGTGACATCTGGAGATGAGGAAAAGACGGCATGTGAGGCAGGATGCAAAGCAGGGAAAGAGCAGGAAAGGGAGAAGGAAGGGGAATGAGGCCAACAAGGGCTGGGGATGAAGTGTGGTGACAGAGTGCTCACCTAGCACACACAGGGGCAGGGAGAGAGAGGCAGTAAGAACAAAAGACTAGACATCAAAGGAAAACTGGGGACAGCAAAACAATGGGTGGTGGTGGCAAGAGGCAGATGGGAAAAGCTTTTACAAATTAGTGGGTGAGGCAGGGGACACCAAACAGGGCAAGCTACTGGGAGAGGTGACACCCATCACTTAGAGAGCAAGTTCCCATCTTAACCCCAGGCTACACCAAGGCTGCACTCAGCTAGGGGGGTGATGTTATGGCAGGGACAGCAAGGGGCTAGGAGGATGACAGGGGTGCCATGGGGATTGTTTCAGTGCCTAAAGTTGTCATGATTTTGGAATCTGCCCTGGAGCCCCAGACTAAGATGGTTCATCATCCCTTGTCTTTCCTGGTCACATCTGGTTCTTTCTCCTGGGGAGACTGAGGCACTGGCAGCAGAGTAGGGGTGTGAGAGAGAGGGGAGGCCCTAAGGGAACAAAACCCGGACAGTCAGGCTTCTAGATGGTTCATGGTAGAAGTGGATTRTCCTGCAGGTCACTGTCCAGTTCTTGGGACCCTCCCATGTCCTTACGGTGCCCGTAGGCTGCCAGGCACTCCTGCAGCTGAGGTGGGGTTCGGGTAGCAAGAATTTCCATGGTTACATCCTCTGCAGAATCTGAGGCCTATAAGAAATCGGGAGGCCACTCAGACTAGGCCATGTCATGAGGATGGCAGACTAACAGGGACAGGGGGCAGATGCTGGCCATCTCTCCCTCCAAGGGTCAATGATGAATCATAAGAGGGGCCTCCAAACCCACCCTCTGGAGTGGACAAAGGCCAGGCAGGTGGCCCTGTCCTTCCCTCAGCGCTGTCTTTAATTCCCTGACATTCTTCACAAGTGTCCTTTTCGGTACCTTCAAGGCTGTCCTCAGTTCCTGGGCATCAAATTGGGCTGCAGGCTGCAGCAGGGCCACCACCATCTTCTCCAGGTTCCCAGAGAGTGCCGCCTGCAAGGACTTCAGCAGGTCCTACAGTAGATGGTGCCCACAGCAGAGACATGGGGTCAGGGCAGGACCCGGAAGTGTGGGTGGGTTTGGGAAGACTTAGCTGGCTTTCCTCTCAGACTTCAAGCACCACCCCTGGGAGCCAGGAGGCTGGGCGCCGTTGCTGTGTGGGTCCTCCCTGGGGCCGCTGCTCCGGGGAGTCAGTGCCGTCTCACCTGTTGGGTCCGCTCCTGGAAGGCTCTAGAAATAAGCTGCCTTTGCTCTCTGCTCCGATTGGTTAGCACGTCCACAATGGCACCACAATCCACACCTGAACCAAAGGGAGGCTGTCACCAAGGTCTTTATTTATACAAGACACCAGGTGAGTGCTCTCCCACTTGAGCCACAACCCCAGGGCCTTGCACGTGCTAGACGAATACTCTACCGCTGAGCCCCAGTCCCAGACCCTCAGCCCTATTTTTTTAAAATATATTAATTTACTTTTTGTACCAGAGATTGAATCCCGGGCACTCTACCACTTAACTACATCCTCAACCCTTTTTATTTTTTTATTTCGAGACAGAGTCTCACTAAATTGGTGAGACTGGCCTCATACTTGAAACCTTCCTGTCTCAAGTCTTCCAGGTCGTTGGGATCACAAGCATGCACCTAGGCATGAGGACCTTCACAGGGCTGGGGTCCCCACACTCTCCAGAGGAGAGAACAAGGTCTAAGGAAGGGCGGGAAGGGAAGGAGCAGGGGCTGCATCACCCATATGTCCACTTGATCTCAAAAGAAGATGCAGGGGCTGGGTTGTAGCTGGTTGTAGGTAGTAGCAGAGAACTTACCTAGCATGTGTAAGGCACTGGGTTTAATCCCCACAATCACATAAAAATAAAAAAATAAAATAAAGATATTGTGTCCATCTGCAACTAAAAATAATTTTTTTTTTCAAAAGATAACAAATAGGGGCTGGGGTGGTGGCTCAGTGGTAAAGCGCTTGCCCAGCATGCGTGAGGCACTGGGTTTGATCCTCAGCACCACAAAGAAATAAAATAAAGATATTGTGTCCACCTAAAACTAAAAAATAAATAATTAAAAAACAGATACAAATAAAATGCCAAAACAGCATGTAAATCTGATACAAATTTAGGCAAAGGTGGCCCCATGTGGTAGTTTTTTTAAAAAAAAATGCTTTTTGGGATTGGCCAGCTCAGCTTAGAACCTTAGCTCCACTGTTAAGAGCTACATGCCCGTGAGCAGGGCTCTTAACCTCTTTGAACCTTAGTTCCTCATCTGTAAAATGGAAAGAATAAGACTTCCCTCCCAGGGTGTTGTGAGAATGGGTAGGACACACCTACCAGGGTATGGTACTTGACACACAGGAATTAAAGTATTTCACAAACATTTCTTGAACTTTGTTAGTTCCTCCTTCCTGGCTCCTTGGTCCATAGATCGGCTTCTAAAAGAACCCCAAGTGCAGAGGGAAAGGGCTCACCTTGGCCTGTAATGGCTTTCAGTAGCCTCTGTACATCTTTGTCCACACTGAAGCTCAAGAAGGTCCTGAGTGTGCCCAGGGTCCCCCAAGCTGCAGTCTGTAAGAGCATGGAGTGATTAGGAGTGGAAATCCCCTGTCTGCCTCTGCCCCTCCCCAGTGCCCAGGACAGGCCCTACTCTCCACTTTGCCCCATCTTCCCACAGCCCCTGAGTTGATACATTAAAGACCATTCCCAGGCAGGCATGGTGGCCCACRCCTCTCCTACCTTATTGGCAAGGCCCAGGTGGCTAAGGATCTCCGGGGTCAGAGAAGGTCCCATCTCCCTGCTGCTCTCGGACATGGTATCACAGGATAGGACGCCCTAGGGAAGGAAACAGGAGCAAACTGAGGCCCACCTGGGCTCTGGATGACCCTCAACCTACAGCCTGGGCCACTCACTGCAGGAAAAAAAAAAAAAAATAACCTGCTTAGCAGGTGTGTGAGCCTGGACCAGAGTGGTGGGGGAGGGGTAAGAGGAAAGCCCCCACCTTCCTCCCCTTTCCCTCTTCCTTGAGGAAGCAAGACCAGAGAGACTGCTGGAACCAGCACTGATGAGACCCTCCCTTGACTCCAGAGTTGGACCCAAGGTTCCTTAATCCTTGGTCTGGACAGTGCCCCCTTCTGAGGCCATGTCCCTTCCCATGGTCTGGCTGGATTCTCCTGGGGGAGTGGAGGGCAGTTGAGGTGAGGTGGCACTATTGAGTGCACAGGGTGGGATTCGGTCCTAATCGCACCCCCCATCAGCACCTTCAAAGCTGCCTACCTGCTTTTCTGCCCTTTACCCTGGGAATCTCACTCTGGAATCTTTAGGTCACCAGGTACAGACTTTGATTCGAAGTATGTGTCCTTGTGGGGACATGGGTACCTGGACTAGAGAGCAGGCACTCTGAGATTGAGAAAGGAAAACATTCCTACCTCCCTCCAGCAGTCAACAAGGTCCCCTCCTTCAGCTGCGAGGTGTCCTTCTGGCCTGGTGGCCTTCCTGCCTGTGTGGGCACCCCAGCTTCTGTGTAGCCTGGTAGAGGAGAGGGGGCGTGGGCATCCCAGGCTGAACAGCCGGTCAGATGACATCTACTGCAGACCAACCCAGCTGTTGTCTGGGGTTGTAGCCCCTCCCAGACGTGGGAGACCAGCTCTCCCGGCCTGTCTCCCTGTAAACACCTCCCTGCCCAGCATCTCTCCTCCTAGGAACCGGGCCTTCACCCACACCAGCAGCTCCGCTCAGCCTCTCAACAGCTCAGCCAAAGACACAGGAGGCTTTGTGCATTGCTTTCCCTGTGGGGCCAGATGGGACCCTAGAAGCCCAGTCCAAGTCCGGCTTCTGACCTGGCTCTGCCTCTGGCTCCAGCTCCCTGGGGGGGCAGGTCCAGCAGGCTCCAGGCTGATTTCAAGGTTGATAGAGAAAAACCTGTTGGGGCACATGCCATCAGGACACCCCAGCCTGCACCCCAGAAGGGGTCCCAGTCCGGAAACTCCCCTGACCGCTGCTGCCTTTTTAAAGCCAGTTGGTCTGGGTGGGAAGACAGGAGGAGTTTTTATATCTGTGAAGGAATGGCCCAGGTATTCTGGAGTGGGAGCAGATCTACAGAGTCAGGAGAGAAAAATGCAAAGGGTGTTCCCTGGGGACAGAAACGTCATGCTCCCAAAGGCACCGTGGAGGAGGAGGAGACTCCCTGGGCCCCACTTTCTTTGACTCCTTTTGCTGACTTCTGGCCACCAGGGCCTTCTGACCTTATGGAGCTGCAGATGATGCAACCCCGGCAGGCGGCGGGCTCCAGGCTGTCAGTGCGCAGAGCAGCAGGTGAACAGTCTTTTCCAGCCCCTGGGTCCCTGAGGAGTTGCTCCAGCCGCACAGCTGACTCCCTTGGGCCTGGGAGCAGTCTCTTCCCTGCTTCCTGGAGATAGCAGTTGGGGCTGGGCCCAGCCCTGGGCTCTATCCTGGCTCAGGACGGCCCCCACTGATAGAGGGCTTCACACCATGAAGGAAGATTGCCATGGTGGCACTGCCCCACTCCTCTCTCCTGTTGAAGTGGAAAACACAGCCAGTCACAGTCACTCTCCTCTACAACCCCGGTGACTCAGGAGGCCAAGGCAGTGAGATCCCAAAAGTTCGAGGCCAGCCAGCCTGGGCAACCTGGTGAGACCTGTCTCAAAGTAAAAATCAAAATTGGCTGGGCGTTGGGCTGGGGATGTGGCTCAAGCTCGCCTGGCATGCGTGCGGCCCGGGTTCGATCCTCAGCACCACATACCAACAAAGATGCTGTGTCCGCCGAAAGCTAATAAATAAATAAATATTAAAATTCTCTCTCTCTCTCACTCTCTCTTTAAAAAAAAAAAAAAGAAAGAACAATGAGGGGGATGTAGTTTAGTGGTAGAATACCCCTGGGATCAATCCCCGAGGCCACAACAAAGTGGAAAATATGCGCCAGTTTTAGGGTTAGAGAATGTGGGTTTAAGTCCCAATTCTTTTCTTTCTCTTTTCTTTTCTTTTGGTATTGAGGATTGAACTCAGGGGTGCTTAACCACTGAGCCACATCCGCAGCCCATTTTTAAAATTTTGAAAAAGGGTCCTACTAAATTGATGAGGCTGGCTTTGAACTTGAGATCATCCTGACTCAGGCTCCTGAGCTGCTGGAATTACAGGCTGGTGCCACCGTGCCTGGCTCCAGTTCCAATCCCGCCACTTGTTTTATTCTGTAACTTTAGGGAGTCACTTCAGCTCTCTAAATGGGCATAGCAGAAGACACTGGCRGGGGCAGTGGAAAGGCATCTGAAGATCAGCTTCCTGGGAGGGATCAATAAGGTAATGATAGAAAGTGGCGTGGTGCCTTGTTAATAAGAGGAGTCAGAGTAAGTAAATGCAAACACCGGACAGCCAGGTAAATTCGAGTTTCCAATAAACAATGAATAATCCGTTCTCAGAAGCATTTCCCAAATATTTCACATAATATACTTATGTTAACAAATTRTTTATTGTTTATCTGAAATTATAATTATAATTCAAGCCAGGCATGGTGGTGCATGCCTGTAATCCCAGCAGCTCAGGAGATTGAGACAGGAGGATCACCAGCCTCAGCAATTTATGGATGCCCTAAGCAACTCAGCAAGACTCTGTCTCTAAATAAAACACAAAATAGCTGGGATGTGGCTCAGTGGTCGAGTGCCCYGAGTTCAATCCCTGGTACCAAAAAATAAAAAATAAAAGTAAAATTATAATTCAACTTCATGTCCTGTATTTTACCTGACCTATGGAACTCAGTTTTGGCATGACAGGAAAAGAAAAAAAATACACACACACACACACACACACACACACACACACACACACTTGGGATTGAACCACATCCATAGGTCTTTTGTTTTTTATTTTGAGACAGGGTCAGGCTGGCCTCAAATTCTCCTGCTGGGTAATTAGCTTAACTTTTCTGTCCTCAAAACAGAGATAAACCAGGTGGGTACTGCACTCCTATAATCTCAGCAATTTGGGAGGGTGAGGCAGAAGGATCACAAGTTCAAAATCAGCCTCAGCAACTTAGTGAGACCCTAAGCAACTCAGAGAGACCCTATCAGAAAGAAAGAAAGAAAGAAAGAAAGAAAGAAAGAAAGAAAGAAAGAAAGAAAGAAAGAAAGAGGGGCTGGGGATGTGGCTCAGTGGTTGAGCAGCTGAGCCGCCYCCGCTTCCCCCAGAGTTCAATTCCCAGGACAGAGAGAGAGAACAAAAAATATTGTTTATATTACAGGTTGTTGTTAGAATTAAATACAAATAATGCTGGGGATGTAGCTTAGTGGTAGAGATCCCTGGGCTCTATCCATAGTACTACAAAAATGTTAACTGTTAACTAATATATAACAATAAGTACTGTTACAATATTATTTTGTAATGATAACTGTTATTACTTGTATCCCTAAGAAATCCAACCTTGGCTCTTTGGCAATTTCTTCCTTGCCATTTCCAAAGATGACCACAAGAGGGCATTAGCAACCATTGGGAGTCTGTGGAGTCCACTAGTTGCCACTTGAGGTCCCTGGCTCCACTTCCAGACAAGAGTCTCAGTCACTTGCTGAGAGAAGAAACCTCCTGAGGGCATGAGGTTTCTAGGTGGGCTTGATGGACAGGTGGGGTCAGGGGAAGAGCCTCACTGCTTGCAGATGAGACAGACTGGGCACACCAGGTTACCTCAGTTAGGCTGGGTGATCACAGTACAGCACTTCCACAGCCAGGGTCCCCATGTCCTCAGCTCTTGGAACCCTTCAGAATTCTCTCTTCTGGCTACTCATGCCATGCAGGCTTAGAGGGAAAGGAAGAGAGAGTGAGGGCACCTGTCTTGCTCAGTGCCAACCTCTTCAAAGGACTCCTGGTAGACCTGCAAGGCTAAWCTCAATTTGGAGAAGGCACACAGAAGTCTACAAGGCAAAGGCCATGTCCTTGTGGGAGGAGTGTATGTGGGGTGAAGGGGAGTGCATTTACAGATCTCTGCTGAAACTTTGGTGGATTCTTGCTGAGTTTCCTTCCTGAGTTTTGTTTTGATCAACACCCAGGCTAGACTGAGGTTGCTTTTAGATTTACCATTCACCTTCCACTTCCATGTTCTTCCACCCATTTACTAACCAGGACCCTGCTTAGCTTCTGCGATCAGATGAGAGCCCATATTCAGGGTGGTATGGCAGGAGACCTAACTCTATGTTCTCAATTTTAGGATTTCAGGGTTGGAGGACATCTTAGTGGTGATCTAATCTGCCATCTTTTGTTACTGATTCAAGGGGCCAGACTTCCAGGTCTCCTAACTCTCTTTCAGTGTTGTCTCTGATGTTAGTATGTCTGATTTGCTGTCCCTCTTAGTGGAATACAGGGAGGGGGAAAGCAGTAATAGTTGCCTCAGTTGTTGACTCATGAACAGTCCTTCAAACCCCCAAGCCCCATATTGCTTTTCTGCCAATATTTTGCATTGCATTATTTCAGAATACAGAGAAATCGATCCCTTTTGGCTATTTTACCTCTTTTTTGGGGGGTGGGTGGGTGGGGGGTGTTACCAGGGATTGAACTCAGGGGCACTCAACTACTGAGCCACACCCCCAGCCCTTTTTTGTATTTTATTTAGAGACAGGGTCTCACTGAGTTGCTTGGTGCCTCACTTTTGCTGAAGTTGGCTTTGAACTCACAAGCCTCCTGCCTCAGCCTCCCCAGCCGCTGGAATTACAGGCATGCACCACCGCACCACCGCACACAGCTTGGCTATTTTACTTCTTGTTAGGAAACTTTTCCCCATAGCTCCTGGCACCTGAGTGTGATCAGATACGGGATACTAGGCAGACTCTCCTCCCTACTTCTGTGTTGTATGGCCGCCCAGTCCTGGACACACCCACAATTGAGCTCCAGGGATTCTCCTGTTCCAGAAACTCTCTTAGATACCCAAACTCTGGCCTGGTGGCTTGTCCTCTGCCTTGGGACACCTCAGCAGCCCACATAGAGGAAGTGAGTCATGACCAGGCAGGCCTCCCTTGGGGCACTGTGGGTGTGGCCTACCAGCCTGTGGTGGGGGTTGGGTTGGAAGGGTAGTGATCATAATCGCGTCTGGTCAAGGCGGGGTAGTGTAGCATCCTCCCAATCCTGGCTGAGGCTGAGTTTCCCCTCCTCCCTTGACTTTCTCCTTTGTCTCCCAGGGGAGGGGTATATCTTCTTTATTTCTCAGGCTTTCATTATCCAACTTCTGCCCTAAAACTTCCTCTCCCCACTGCTCACTTTTCATACACACACACAAGTACTCTGCATGAATTTACATATTTATAAATATTTATGTAATTTACATATATACGGTCATATAAATAATTTGTACATATAAACATATACTCATATATATATATATATATAATTTTGTTTTGAGTGGTGGGGATGGAACCATGGCCTTACACATGCTAGGCAAGTGCTCTACCACTGAGCTACAACCCCAGCCCCGCTCCACTGTTAGGAWAAATAAATAAATAAATAAAAGTTAACCAGGACAGTTAAATGTCCCCCTGAGGAAGGCTTTTAAAAGTCTGGTGGTGAACATGGGAAAGCATGGAACCTAGGAAAATCCTCTGAGAAAAGAGGGGAGACAAGTAGCCCAGGGGTCTGGGGGGTTAGACAGTGGAACCCTGTGGATCACCTAGTGTGGGCCTGTGGCGGGTAAGTACTCTAGGGACTGCACTGGAGAAAGAGAACCGAGGAATTGGAAGGCTCAGGAAAGGAGAGTAACAAGTGGGAAGAAAGATACTGTTGAAGATGTCCTAGAAAGAGAGGAGTTCAGACCAGGGGCATAGGAAAAACAGGACCAGAGCTTGCTGGGAACTGGGAAAAATCAGGCCGGCAGTGGCTGGAAAAGCCCGCAGGGTCCCGCTGGGGACCCATCCGGTGTCCCCTTTTCTGGCCTGGTAGCCTGGGCAGGTGGTCTCACTGCGAGGGGCAAGTGGAAGGTCGGAAGTCGGCCTGCGCCTGCAGCTCTGGGCGCATCCCCCCCAGTACCCCCTCAGGCTGCAGGCGCGCCGGGTTCAAGGTCGGGCCCCTGTGAGACGAGGTTCCACCGGGCTGTTTAAGGGGTGTTTCCACGTGGGATCGGACACGCGTGGACGTGGCGCACGACATTTCACAAGCCAGCTGGAGGGTGTCTCTCCGCCCTCTCCCGCAGTAGGGCGTGCGTGCGAGGAAGGGGTGCTGCCACCCAGGCAGCGCCACCGCGCGGGGTGCAGCGCGCGCCTCTTACTGGGGGCAGTCGGGGGGCTGCTGCCCGGGCGCGCCCCAGAGGCGTCCCGCCCGGCGCGGCCCGGGGACCGTCGTGGGAGGGCGGCAGTGGCCCCGAGGGGCTGGGCGCGAACCGCGGTGGGGGCGAGCGCGGCGGGCCAGGGCGCCACCGCCCCGGTACTCGGGCAGCTCGTGGGCCGGTCCCGGGCCCAGCGCGCTCCGCTCTCGCAGCCGCAGAGCCGCGGGTGTCCGGAGGCCGCTCGCCGCGCACGCTCCGCGGGCCCCGCCCGAGGCCCTTCCCTCCCGAGGCCCACGCCCAGTCTCCAGCTCCCGGCGGCCGCGGCCTCCCTTCCCCGCGCTGGGCGCGGCGGCGGGAGGAGGAGGAAGGAGGAGGAGCGGGCCGGCGGCGGAAGGGGGAGCGCGGCGCGGGCCGAGGGCGCGGAGGCCCGACTCGGACGAGGGGACGGAGCAGCGGCGCCCGCCGGGCCAGCTCCGCGACGCCGCGGCGAGTGAGTCGGCGCCCGGGCGCGGGCGGGAAGGGGCCGCGGACGCGCTCGCCGAGGGGCCCGGCCGGGGGCCGCGGGTCGGCGGAGGACAGGCCTCCCCAGGGCGGCCGTGCGCGGAGGTCGCCGCCGGGGGCCCTGCCGGCGCTCATGGCGGCGGGCGGCGGGAGGGCGGGTCGGCGCGCCTCCGAGCCGCGGGGCCCCCAGCGCGGCCCGGCCAGACCGGCCTGGTCCCCCGGCGCTCCCCGCGCCGCCCTGGGCCGGGGAGCCCTGCTGGGCAGCAGGAAGGGGCTGGGCCGTGGGGCCACCGGCGCCCAGGGGCCACCGCGCCCCTTTGTTGGGGAGCGGAGAGGCTGGGTGACCTTCGCGCGGAAGCCCCGAGCCGCGGTGGCGCCCCCGGCTGCCTGCGCCCCCGTGGCAGGACTGCCGGGCAGAGCGGATCCTCGGCCCTTTCTAATCCCCGGCCCACTGAGCCCACCGCGGGAGAGCCCCGAGCGTCCATGTGCTTAACGGGAAGCAGGAAGGAGCGGCTGCGAGCGCCGTCCCGGGCCCCGGGGCCCAGGCGCCCAGACCGTTATGGGGTGTGTGGCTGGCGGGGAGCAGCCAGAGAAACTGGCTTTCTGGGCCGTAACTTGCTAATTATTGGCCCTCTGGCAAAGTGGGTTGACTGCAGGTGTGTGGCCTTAATCTCTGGCCGAGCTGGCGAGTTCCTCTCTCCCGTGCCAGGCTCCGGACATCAATACCTGCTTTCATCCCCTGGCCGCCGAGGTCGCAGAGCTCCGTGAGTCCCCAGGCGCCGAGGGCCTCTCTCCCCAGAGCGCCCCGGAGGGAAGGCCTGCAGCAAGCAGTCACCCTGTCTGGGTTCCAGCAGGGGCTTGTGGGCCCTCTGCTCAACACCAGAGTCAGGCGACTGGGCCTGTGTGTGAGTGGCCAACTGCACCTGTGATCCCTGTCCCTTCGGACCTGGCTCTGACCATACAGAGACCTGATAGACGCTTTCCAGACAGAGCGAGCGAGCCTTTTCTCTCCTGGCATCCCACAGCCTACTCTTCGACTAACTGCGGCCTCTGGCCAGATTTCACCCTGAAAAGTAGGGCCTCCTCATTGTCCAGCCACTGGTCAGGCTGGCTTTCTCTGTAAATCAGTCCCCCATCCCTACCTTCAGCTGCCTCTTCACAAGCTGGCCCTGGGGACTTTTGGATTGACATCCCAGTCAAGCTGTAGGCCAGATGAGCCTGAGGACCCGAGCTGTTTTGGCTGCCTCTCACCCCCATCTTTCCGAGAATTTGACCCAACTTTCTGGGCTTGTGCTGCTGCTGGATTCATGACACACCTCTTCTTCACTCACACATTGCTTGCAGCCTTCTAGTTCAGTTTGAGACCTGCTGCCTGGAAGGACAGTTTTCAACAAGGAAGACTATTCAGGACTTCTTGCATGGCTCTTTGTGTGTGTGTGTGCGCACGCCAAGGATTGAACCCAGGGGCACTTAACCTCTGAGCCATATTCCCAACCCTTTTTATTTTTTTATTTTGAGACAAGGTCTCACTAAGTTGCTTAGAGCCTTGCTAAGTTACTGAGGCTGTTTTGAACTTGTGATCCTCCTGCCTCAGCCTCCTGAGTTGCTGGGATTACCAGGCATGCACCACCTCACCAGCATGCCATGTTTTTGTAGTTCCTTAGGCTTTGCAAGACCCTCTTTTTCAYGCTCTCTGTCTCTTAGGGCCCCTTTGTATTTTCCTTAGTTATTTTACCAAACTCTGAGAGCCAGTGGGACTGTTATTACATTGAGTCTGTGAGAGTTCTTTTCTCACAGGCTAAATTTCTGCTCTGTCAGCCCTCTGGGTCTATTAGCTCCCATGGAGTCCGCCTACTCTTTTCATCCACCTACAGGAATCTTGGGGGGTGGTCAGACAGAGGTGGGKTGGAGATAGGGGCTCAGCCGAACACTGCTCATGTTCAAGGTCACCTGATACTTGAAGCCCCTCTCCAGCTTGCAGAGCATTTGTGTCTCTGAGGCAGGTGTGTGGTGTGAGGGAGACACACACATGCTCACCCACTCCATCTCTCTTCATATGGGGGATGTAATTCATTTCTTTTTTGGGGGTACCAGGGATTGAACTCAGGGGCACTTGACCACTGAGCCACATCCCCAGCCTTGCTGAGGCTGGCTTTAAACTCGTGATCCTCCTGTCTCAGCCTCCTGAGCCACTGGGATTATAGGTGTGCACCACTGCGCCCCGCCCCTTGTGGGGGTGTAATTTCTGTAAGTGGAAAAGGGTGTGATTTTCTCTGCCAGAAAATCAAGTATCTGCCCTGAGGGTCTTCGCTGTACCTTGACCTTTCCTTGCCCTGGCCTCTTGTTTATGGGATTCCTTGTTTGGCTTGATGTGCAGGTGCCAGGAAGCTGCTAGGCTTGCCACTGGGAACAGACTGGCTGCTTGGCTCTGCGGGGGGGAGTGTAGGAGGGTGGCTAGGAGCCCCAGTTGTCATCCTTTGCCTCCTGTGGAGCCAGAAGTCCTAACCCCCTGAACCCACTGCTGAACCTCGCACCTCTCCCTGCTGGGAGGGGTAGTGCTTCTAGGCTAATGGAAGTGAAGAACAGCATGGGAGGGCTGTGGTCRCAGAAAGCCTGCGAGAGCCCCATTAATCTGCATCTCTGAACTCCTGACATACTCTCTCACACGCCTGTCTTTTACCCTACATGCCTGGGGTGGAAGAGTGTGGGTGCTGTCTTGTCTTAGAGCTGAAGTGGGTACACTTTGTAAGTTCTCTGACACCTGTGGTGCCTCCCTCCCCAGCTCATCTTTGTAGGGACCAGACMGGTGCAAGACATTCCTGGGCCCCAGGAGTCCAGGAGGAGGGGCTCACTCCAGGTCCCTAGCTAGCCCTGTGAACCCTTACCCCTCAAACACCCCKACCAGAGCCCACCTTTGCCAGTTTCCACTGACTGGGATGGAGATGGGGTTCAGAGTGGAAGCTTGCCTGTTCCCCTGGGCTTTAATTTGTGGAAAAATTGGGCCTCAAGAGACAGAAGATTGGGGCTGGGGATGTGGCTCAAGCGGTAGCGCGCTCGCCTGGCATGCGTGCGGCCCGGGTTCAATCCTCAGCACCACATACCAACAAAGATGTGTCCGCCAAAAACTAAAAAATAAATATTAAAAAAAAATTCTCTCTCAAAAAAAAAAAAAAAAAAAAAAGAGCAGATGACTGGGTCAGTTACAGTTCCCCACCTCCAATCAGGCTGAGCAAAACAAAAGAAGGTGGGAAGGAAGAGGGGAGGCGAAGGTGTTCAAACATACTTTGTGATTCTGCATGTCCCTTCTCAAGTTTTTATCTTTGTCCTTTCTTTGATTTTTCTATTTTTCTTTGTGAAAAATTACATGTATATGTGTGTAGAAAGTTCTGCTGTGGGAAATTATATTTAATTTTGTTCAGTTCAAAAGGGTTCCATCTCTTGAACTAATTAAATATTTATTCTGGCCAAGGTGGAGGGGGAAGGGGCAGTGCCCTTGTGTGCTGAGGCCTGGAATGTGCGTGTGTCTGTGAGTGATTCTGGGCAGGAGGGGGAAGGTGGAGCTGAAGCTCCTTTATTGTCAGTGCTTACCTCTGATTTCATCCGAGAGAGCAATGACCAGGAGTGGGGACAAGAGGGTAAAGTCCTTGAGCTGGAATACTGACCSGTGACAGGCTAGTGACAGGCTAAGAGGGATTTCGCAAGTGCTTCTGTGGTAGGTGGGGTGGAGCCAGCTGAGGCCAGCCCACCTCTGCTCAGCCTTTTGCAGCCCGGGATTGGTCTCCCATTCACATGGGACAACAATCCCCCCACTCTCTTTCCTCCCCAGTTGGGAGGGGACTACCTTCTGTCTCAGCTTGCAATCTCAAAGCCAGTCTGAATACCACCAGCTCTCTTTCCTCTTGGGTGGGAACCCGGAGAAGACCGCCTGGGTCTCCCTTCTGGCACTCACGGTGGAGTCCTGGGACTGCCGGGTGTCGGGCTGGATCTGACATCATTGACTCTTCAGGGCCATTTTGCTACTTCTGTTGGCTCCAAGCAAATGCTGTCCCCCCCATGAACCACACAACATTCTCTCCTTCATTTGGGTTCTGAGTGGTCTGCGGCCCTGTTCCTTTTTCTTCAGTGGGGGAAATGGGGAAGGGGTAAAGCGACGGCTGTTTCCTGGGAGGAGGAGTATTTTCGATGAGTGTTTCCCTGCAGATTAGTGTTTTATGTTCTGGATGAGCCTTCATAAGAACTAGCTCCATTCTACCAGATGTCTTGGTCTGTTGTCCAGATTCTTTGTCCCCAGTCCTTGACTCTATGCCGCTCGGCCTTCACTTTCTTCTTTTAAAAAATAATTTAAAAATCAATCAATTAAAAAATAATACATATATAGATGGAAACACGTCTTTATTTTATGTGGTGCTGAGGATCGAACCAGTGCCTCACACATGCTAGGCAAGTGCTCTGCCACTGAGCTGCAGCCCCAGCCCCCTTCACTTTCTTTCTGAAAGAGGCTTACACATAAGGTTCTTCTGCCTTAAGTGTAGACTGGATGGCTCACTGTGAGGTGTCACCTTGTGTGCTTGGTGTTCATTGACTGTTTTGGGGCTCAGCCTCATTCAGGAATATTTTAGCTTTCCTTAGGATTTGCTGCCCAGATGAGTTGTAGGGAAGGGAGGTGTTTGCCCCAGCCTGTAATCTGTTTTGGGGCCCTTCTCTCCCCTCTCCCATGAACCTTAAAGCCTGAGGGTGGGGTGAAGGAAGGGTGCCTCTGATTTTACTCAGGTTCTTGGCCATGGCTTCTCATGTCAAGTTCTGCCTGTCCTCCAGGTTGAAACAGCAAAGTGAAGAACCTGAGGTTCTGTATTCCAGGGACTCAGGACTTCTAAAGGTGTCAGCACCACCTGAGGTTGCCATAACATTAAGTGTTAAATCTGGAGAGCCATGGGCTGTGGCTCAATGACAGAGCGTTTGCCTAGCACATGCGAGGTACTGGGTTCAATCCTCAGAACCATATACAAATAAATAAATAAAGGTATTGTGTCCATCTACAACTAAAAAAACATCAAAACTACAGCAACAACAACAAAAACTGGAAAGCTACAATATTACAGACGAGGAAACTATTTGCCTCAGACCACATAGCCAGGACCAAACTCCAGGGCTTGAGTTGCTGCCCCCTGCTCCTTTTTTCTTTTTTTGGGGGGGTACCAGGGATTGAACTCGGGGGCACTAGGCCACTGACCCACACCCCCAGCCCTATTTTGTACTTTAATATTTAGAGACAGGGTCTCCCTGAGTTAGCTAGTGCCTCACTTTTTCTGAGGCTGAYTTTGAACTCAGGATCCTATCTCAGCCTCCTGAGCCACTGGGATTACATGGGCCACAGCACCTGGTCCCTTGCTCCTTTTGAAATACCAAGAAAGCCTTCATTCCTCTAACTCTTCCATTTTATCTCATTCCCTCTTTACTCAGGATGCTCCAGACCTTGTATGATTACTTCTGGTGGGAACGTCTGTGGCTGCCTGTGAACTTAACCTGGGCTGACTTAGAAGACCGAGATGGACGGGTCTACGCCAAAGCCTCCGACCTCTATATCACACTACCCCTGGCCTTGCTCTTCCTCATCATTCGATACTTCTTTGAGCTGTGAGCATATCAGCCTATCCTCAGGCCTTCCCCAGCCGCCCGCCACAGTCTTTTGCTGTTTAATTAGACTTGGATCCTGGTGTTCTGGTTACCAGGTCCCTGCCCACTGTGTCCCCTCACCCTCAGGGCACCATTGTCTTTCTGAGGGCTCAGCACCCCCAAGTACTGTCCTTCAATGGCTATTTGTTCTTATCCTCCACCCCCAACCAGGCCTGGTCACTAGTGAACACAGGCAGCTTTGTCAGCTGTGGGCAGCCCAGGAGGCTAGAGGAAAGGGGTTGCCAGGAAACTGGGGAAACTGAGGCCCAGAATAAAGCTGCCCGAGCTTGCAGTTCTGTCCCCTCCCAACTCGGGGGCTCAGGGCATTCCAGGAGAGCCAGACACCTCTCACTCGTGTCCTTTCCCCAGTTATGTGGCTACACCACTGGCTGCCCTCCTCAATGTAAAGGAGAAAACTCGGCTGCGGGCACCTCCTAATGCCACCTTGGAGCATTTCTACCTGACCAGCGGCAAGCAGCCTAAGCAGGTATGAACTGCAGRCTCCTCAGGCCCAAGCTACTGAGCCCCCGTGGGGAGGGCAGAGGGAGACATGGGGTTTTAGCCCTGGTGGGTGAAGAGACGGGAGAGTGGGAGTGCTGCTGATTCCGAGGTTGAACATAACGGCTTCTTCACTCTACCCAGGTAGAAGTAGAGCTTTTGTCCCGTCAGAGTGGGCTCTCGGGGCGCCAGGTAGAACGCTGGTTCCGCCGCCGTCGCAACCAGGACCGGCCCAGTCTCCTCAAGAAGTTCCGAGAAGCCAGGTAAGCTGGTACAAACAGAACTGGGTGGTAGAGGGGCTGGGGCTGAGTGGTAGTGCACTCGTCTAGCATGTGTGAGGCCCTGGGTTAGATCCTCAGTACCACATAAAAATAAATAAAATAAAGGTATTGTGTCCATCTACAACTTAAAAAAAAAAAATGACTGGGGTGGTAGAGAAAGGTCAAATGTGTCTTGCTGGGAGGCCACCACCAGCAGGAGAATTCAGTTATTAATAGTAACCTTGAGGATATCTGGGKGCTATGCTATTCTCCTACCCAGCCATTTGTGCTCCCTCTTCCAGTTGGAGATTCACATTTTACCTGATTGCCTTCATTGCCGGAATGGCCGTCATTGTGGATGTGAGTGGYGATTACTGGGAAGTGGGAGTAGGTTCTCTAGCAAGGTGGGATGAAGCTATAGAATTTGGGTCCATTGTTCTTTTAATGTTTCACCATTTCTCTGCAGAAGCCCTGGTTCTATGACATGAGGAAAGTTTGGGAGGGATATCCCATACAGGTATGAAATGGAGCCTTGTGAAGAGATGGTTTCTGGGACACATGGAAGAGGGACTGGTATTACAGAATTAAGAATAACCTTGGCTAAAAGGGCTGGGATTGGAGGGTGAACCCTTTAGGGCTAGTTGCCCTGAGGTTCCTACCCGCTTTCCTCTTCCAGAGCATCATCCCTTCCCAGTATTGGTACTACATGATTGAACTTTCTTTCTACTGGTCACTGCTCTTCAGCATTGCCTCTGATGTCAAGAGAAAGGTTGGTGAAGAGCTGTGCCGTTAAGCCCAAGAGCCAAATGAGGTTCCGGGATGAAGTCTTCTCCTTTGACTTTTGAGGGCTTTGGGTGGAGCTTTTACAATATGGGGGACAAAAGGTAAAAAAAAATAGTGAGAACTGGGGAACAGGAAAACATCTCCTAGAACCTGCATCTCTTCTGCAGGATTTTAAGGAACAGATCATCCACCATGTGGCCACCATCATCCTCCTTAGCTTCTCCTGGTTTGCCAATTACCTCCGAGCGGGAACTCTCATCATGGCTCTGCATGACTCTTCAGACTACCTGCTGGAGGTTAGGCTTCCTTTTGAGGCCCTATTGCAGGTTCTTCATTGGCTTTGACTTTTTGGGGGTGGTGGTGAAGGCAACAGAGAGCCAGTGCTGATACTGAGTGCACGTATGAATGTATGTGGGAGTCAGGGTCTTGTGGTGACGTATGGGGGCTATTTATGCAGTCAGCCAAGATGTTTAACTACGCTGGATGGAAAAATACCTGCAACAATATCTTCATCGTCTTTGCCATTGTTTTTATCATCACTCGACTGGTCATCTTGCCCTTCTGGTAAGTAGGTGTCCAAGCTATCCTCTTGAGAACACACTTTTCTCTCCCTCACTTATTTACCCACTCTGGTCCATGTTTACAATTCTCTCCCCCTGGAAATCCTCAGGATCCTGCACTGCACCCTGGTGTACCCGCTGGAGCTCTATCCTGCCTTCTTTGGTTATTACTTCTTCAATGCCATGATGGGAGTGCTGCAGAYGCTGCATATCTTCTGGGCGTACCTCATTTTGCGCATGGCCCACAAGTTCATAACTGGAAAGGTGAAGGCTGTCTCCCATTTGTAGGCCTTATCACTCTCAACTACAGAACTCCCCAAACTCCGTGTCATGTCAGTAACCCTTTGAAAAACTATTGTGGGACACCCAATGTGGTACACCTATAATTCCAGCAACTCAGACTCAGGAGGCTGAGGCAGGAGGATATCAAGTTCAAGGCCAGCCTTGGCAACTTAGTGAGAGACTGTCTCAAAACAAAAAGGCCTGGGGATGTAGCTCAGTGGCAAAGTGTCCAATCCTCAAGCACCACAAAATAAACAACGGTGGGGCCCTGGGCACATAGGGACAAGCTGTCAGTGACCTTTTTCCTCCATTTTTCACAGCTGGTAGAAGATGAACGCAGTGACCGGGAAGAAACAGAGAGCTCAGAGGGGGAGGAGGCTACAGCTGGGGGAGGAGTAAAGAGCCGGCCCCTAGCCAATGGCCACCCCATCTTCAATAACAACCATCGTAAGAATGACTGAACCATTGTCCCAGCTGCCTCCCAGATTAACGCAGAAAGCCAAGGAACTAGCCAACCTTCCTCATAGGGTCACTTCAAGCTCTGGGGAGATCTACAGAGAAGGGGAGAGGAGACTTCTATGTTCTCTCTCCTCCTTTGTCACCCTGTTGCCTTTAAACCAAATTCTAACCAGCCTGTCCTCATAGAGGAGACTGGTTATATCCTGTATTAGAGGGGAATGGTTTTACTGTCCTTTCTGTTCACTATTATCCTTCTTATAGCTTTTGAGATCCCTCCTCAGCTCTGAGAGTGGGGKTATGATCCACATTCCTTGTTCTAGAGAATTTGGCCCTGTTTGCCTTTGACTCCCTGAATGCCACAGCCAGGGTCGTGCCTTACTGTCCCATCCGTGGGCCTCATTCTGCCAAAGCTGGACCAAGGCTCACTTTTCTAAGCTTCCTGACTTGGGTCAGAAACCAAAGCTAAACTGACTCTTAACTTTTTCCAACTTTTTTCCTAAAGACAAAACAGACTGTGTATAGGAGGGTACGCAGCACCCTTACCCTACCTCTGCCAACAAGTGGGGTAATACTGGGGACTGCTCAGATGGTCGTGCTGCTGATTTCTCTGCCAGCTGTCCCTATGGCCACAAGTCCAAGGTCTTCCAACTTCCCCTTTCTGTCCTCTTTTCTTCAGCTAGGCTAGCTGGTTTGGAGTAGAATGGCAACTAGTTCTAATTTTTATTTATTAAACATTTGGAGTTTTGGTTTTAAAGCCAGAATTACAGCTAGCACCTGGCATTTCAGCAGAGGGACCATTTCAGACCAAAAATGTACTGTTAATGGTTTTTTTAATTAAAATATATTAAAGATTAAATAAAACGTGGCAACAAGGATCAGACTATTAGGAATTGATGAGGAATTAACTAAATAAACTAAGATAGTTTTTCTTATGCCTTCCTTGTAGTTATGTAACATTCTTTTAAGTTTCACATGGCAAATAAAAGTTGGAGAAGATATAAGATTAATGACAGCTGCCCATTGGAGGGGGGAGTGGGGCAGGTCTCTCCACTGACAGATCCAGAATGGGAGTATGGGGCCTGAGGGAGGGAAATCAAATCACAATCTTAGTTTGACCATTTTGTTAAAAAGACTTTTCAAGGAACAATACAAACCAGGGATAGCAGATACGCACCGCCGCCTCCACTTCAATTAGAATAATGGACATGGGAACAACCGTGGGATGGCAGGCCCAGGTACGAGTGGTGACCTCTTCCCATCCCTGAGTGCCTCAGGGAGTYGAGAAGGGACTCTGCCTGCTAGCACCACATTGGAGAGATCTCCTGATCCAGAACCCCCATTTCTATCTACTAGGAACTGGGGGGAGTTGCTAGACCAGAGACTTGGGGTCAGAGCTGAACAGTCAGGAAGACCCAGTTCCTGGGGAAAGGAGAGTTCTGAAGGCAGGGAAGGCGGCTGTCTAAAGAAGACGCCCTCTGCATTCGATGGCCCCACAGCAGCAGAGCAGCTCCTTGCCTTCCACACTGCCCACCTCATAGTTGTAGTCCCAAGTAAGTTCTGTTCCAGCCCGGATTCTCCTGAAGAGGAAGAAAAAAAAGGATGGTGTGTGGTGAAGGTAGCAAATTATGTAGGGGTTATGAGAATGTGTACATGGAAGCCGGGCGCGGTGGCACATGCCTGTAATCCCAGTGGCTCAGGGGAGCTAAAAGCAGGAGCATCATGAGTTTAAAGCCAGCCTCAGCAATAGCGAGGCACTAAGGCAAATTTCCGAGACTCCAYCTTTAAATAAAATACAAAACAGGGCTGGGCATGTGGCTCAGTAGGTGAGTGCCCCAGAGTTCAATCCCTGGTAATCCCCCCCAAAAAAGATGTATATGTGGAGCTGGACCATGGAGATAAAGCACAGCTCTCAAACATTTGTAGCCTCTGACTGTATCCCATTTGTCCCTAGCATATTCTGTGCTGTGGCTACGACTGTGAACAGGACTCAGCTCTTTGTTCCTTAAAAGACAGACAATTCAGTGCTGAGGTTGTGGCTCAGCAGTAGAGTGCTCGCCTGGCATGCGAGAGGCCTTGGGGTTGGATCCTCAGCACCACGTAAAACTGAATAAATAAAATAAAGGTATGTGTCCAAATACAAATAAAAAAGATAAATATATTAAAAAAAAAAAAAGACAATTCTGGGAGATAGTGTCACAGGCAGGGCTCCCCCCATGACCAAAACCATCCCCACTCATCCCCTCTCCCAATTCCCTCTTACTTGCTGGCAAAGAAGGCCACCCAAGGGAAGCGAAGATCATGAGTATCCACAAAGACATTCTGAACAAACAGGTTGGGGCTGCAACTATGCTGTAAGTTTAAGGACAGCACTGAATCAATACCAAGGAAATAAAAGTGAGAGCGGAAAAAAATGATGGTATCTGACCAACCCCATTATAACAGAGATGTTTTGAAAGAAAGCTGCCTCTTCAAAATTTTTTGAAAACCAATTTATATACATCAACTATATAAAAGTTCATATTGTATGTTAACAAAAAAATAGAACTTTGGGGACGATGGGATATGTGAACCATCTAGAGGCAGAGGGAAGGGATCTTACATTGAGGTAGCGGCCCAAGTTGCCTTCAAGCTTGGCATCGATGATATAGCAAGACTCTTCACCATCRTAGAACTGGCGTGTATTCTTCCGAACAGGTGCACTCTCCCCCTTGTCCACAGAGGCCATGTTGGTTGATTTAATGGCTATCCCATGGGTTGATTTAAGAGCAAAGCCCCGGGTTGATTTTACTGCCACCTGGCGCTTTGTCGGACCTGGAGAGGAAGGAAAATGGGGTCAGGACCCACCCCATTTCACGATTCAATTGCATGTTCTTATCCACTCCCCACCATTTTTTGGTGTTCTAGAGATGGAACTCCAAGCCTAGAATATGCTAGGCAAGTGCTCTACCACTGAGCTACATCTCTAGCCTATCTACTCTCATTCTTATGCCACGTGTACCAGCTCAGGAATACCAATAACCTAGGTCTCAGGCAAAGACTTCAGTAGCCACGTTTTCAAGCAGGATTAAATCTGCTGGACAAAGGGCTGGGATGTGGCTCAAGCGGTAGCGCGCTCGCCTGGCATGCGTGCGGCCCGGGTTCAATCCTCAGCACCACATACCAACAAAGATGTTGTGTCCGCCGAGAACTAAAAAATAAATATTAAAAATTCTCTCTCTCTATCTCTCTCTCTCCTCTCTCACTCTCTCTTTAAAAAAAAAAAAATCTGCTGGACAAAGGAACTGAGGGAAAGAGTAAGGAACTGAGAAGAAGAGAGGAAGGGGACATGTTAAATAAGTTAATAGTTTAGCTTAGCATCAGGGAGCCCTCCCCAAAATGCTTCAACTCTTAGGATCTGAATTTGCCACTCCCCTACTTCTTTAGCTTCCTTTAAAAACTTTCTACTGTTTCTCCCTACCACTCCCCCAAATTTTCCAGACTACCAGACATGTTCTTCTTGTCCTCAAAGTCATCCCCTTCAGAGCCAGAGGAGATGGTCTGGATATCATCACTGTCAACTGCTGTGGCTGAAGTCTGACCAGGAGTAGGCTTTCGGCTGGTCCCACTTTCCCCCTCACTTTCAGTGCTGCTGGACAGTGTCAGGATGTCCTGGGGAAGCAGAAGGATGAGAAGAAGGAAGAGGAGTAAATGGAAAGGCCCCTTCAAATTCTTGCTTTTACCTATGGTTTGACAGAAGGGACTGAGACTGTAAGCAAGAGGAAGGTAAGATACTGAATCAAAGAGAACAAGACAGGAAGTCAAGGACAGATAAGCAAGAAAACACCTAATAATAATTATAGTGAAGGACTTGTGAGGGGAGACTGTTCTATGTTCCTTTACTTGGCTCTGAGTAATAGAAGGCTGRGTAAGACACAGCTTGAGAAGGTCACTTACATCAGGGTTGGACTGGGCAGAAGCCATGAGTCGCCGGCTCTGATGCATACTAGTCTTACTAGGTGGACGGCGAAGACCTTCAGGCTTCACAGGAGAAGGATTGTAACCATAATTTCGAGAGGTTTCAGTAACTCTGATGTGGGGGAAAGACAATGAGAATGAGTCAGGTTACAGGCTATCTTCTTAAGAGAATGCACAAGAGAAGACAGATTTGGAGAACACGTCAAAAAGACAAGCACCAACAGGATGGTGCACACCTAAAATCTCAGCTAATGGGAAGGCTGAAGCAAGAAAATCACAAGTTTTGGCAACTTAGACCCTATCTCAAAAAAATAAAAACAAAAAGGCTGGGGATGTAGCTCTGGGGGAGAGCACCCCTGGGTTCAATCTCCAGAATCACACACACAAAAAACTTACAAGGACATCTTGTTCCGGTCATCAGGGTCCTAGAAAAGAGCAAATGCAGAGTTAAGGAAGTTAAGACGGAAATGTTAAGAAATAGTTAAGAAAGAAATGCTTTCGTGGTCCAAGGTTAACAAATCCATTAATTTCATTATTAAAGAACATTAGGCAGTTAAGGGTACACATACACTATTTAAAGTGGGAAGGTGTGGGGAAATCACCCTGACTTGATAGTAACAATTATATTCTCATCACTAAACTCCCCTAGCAGGGCCTCTATTTATAATGTAGAAAATTTCAAATTATGGTCTGGGGTTGTGGTTTAGCAGTAGAGCACTCATCTAGCATGTGTGAGGCCCCGAGTTCAATCCTTAGCACCACATAATAATAAATAAGTAAAATAAAGATACTATGTTCAACTACTACTACAGGATAAATATTTAAAAAAAAAAGAAAGAAAAGAAAAAGAAAATTTCAACATTATCAAAGATAGACCTAAAATTGATTCTTCTTTTTTTTGTAATGGGGTTTTTACTTTTTTGCCCAGGCTTATTTCTAACTCATGGGCCCAAATAGTTYTCTTACTTCAAACTCTTGCTACCACACCCAGCTTTAAAGTAAATTTGTGTTTGTTTTTGTGGTACTGAGGATAAATCCAGGGTTTTGCACATCGTAGGCAAGTGCTCTACCACTAGGCTCCATACCCAGCTCTTAATTTAAATTTTGAGACAGTGTCTCATTAAATTCCCCTACACGTGCAACCCTCCTGCTTTAGTCTCTTGAGTGGCTGGGCTAAGGTATGTGCCACCAAGCTCAGCTTGTTTCTTCAATATAAGCAAACAATGATGTAGACAACTTGCAAAACCATTAAAAAAAAAATCACTTATAATCCTTCACTTGGGAATGAATCAAATAATCTGCCTCTCCTAGGCAAATGGATTTTAAAATAATTTGGTCTTTATTTAACTTAGGAATGTAATGAGTTGAGGAAGAGAATAAGGTGGCCCAAGAAGTATCTGTCATGTAAATAAGATGACTTGTGACTGTATTGAGGTTATTACTATAACAAAGTTAAAAGCCATTGCTTTGATTTTGGGCCACTGCTTACCTCTTTCTTAGCCTGCTTGATGTCTCCTTCATCCTTGATGGCCATTCCCGAGGTAGAGGCCTTCTCAGCCTCCCCTCGACTTCCCCCAGCCCTGCCCTCCCCACCTTCACTAGTCTTGAAGGATGAACGACTATCAGAGTCACCAAAACCACCTTCACTGACACTATTGCAGCTTAACCATGAGGCCACTTTGTTCTTGGGCGTCTCTTCGGAGGAAGGTGGATTACAGCCCCCTACAGGGACTGAGGAAGGGATAGGAAGATGTGGGGGCCCAAGGTCTGGGGGGCGAGAATCCTTGGAAGCTGTCTCAGACAATCCATTCTCTTTCTGACCACGGGTCTGCCTCCGGGTAGCATAGCTGCGCCAAACTGAGCTGGTGCTGAAGTCCTCGTCCTTACAGAAGTTATCATCTGAGCTATCATCATTGGACTCTTCAGGGTCCTCTGTACCACTGTTGCCATCTTCTTGGTCCTTCAAATCTACACCACTGCTATCAGAGGAACAGGGGACATCACTCTCATATCCTTCCTTGAAGTTCTCTACGCTCTCAATATGGTCCAGATTTGCAAAGTACTCGTCACCCATTTCCAGGCCCTCCTTGTCAGCAAAGTCATCTGTCAGGATTTTGCCTAAAAATAGAGAATTAAAGGCTTTCTGGAGTTATGGGGACCTTTAAGAATAAGTTCATTAAAAAAAAAAAAGTCATTCCATCAATACACTGCCCACCAGTATCAAGTCTTCAAGTCTAGATCCCTTTGTTATAAACTCAAGTCTTTGATGATACCTTGTGTCTTACTATGAGAGCATGGGGAAATTTATTATAGTTTTTATTTTTGCAGTACTGGGGATTGAACCTAGGGGTACTATATACCACTGAGATACATTCCAACCCTTATTTTTAAGCAGTTGAGGTTGCCCAGGTTGGCAATCTTCCAGCCCCAGCCTCCCAAGTAGCTGGGATTATAGGCATGTGCCACCATATCGGCTCCTTTCTTTCTCTTAACTTTGTTTATGGAAAGAGTGTTCTCAACTATGCTAAAAGATTCTGAGTAGACGTGGAAGAAAAATGATACAATAGACTCTATAAGCACGTTATCTCCTCTCAAACATCAGTGTCCAGAACATGATCCCCTTCACACTGCTGTACTTCTCTGGTCCGCCTAGACTGGCACAATACTCATCATGTCTTTTCATTTTTTGTGGTACTATGGATTAAACCCAGGGCTTTGCACAAGCTAGATAAGCACTCGACCACTGATCTACATCCCAACCTTTTTTGTTTTGACACAGGGTCTTGCTAAGTTGCCCAGGTTGGCTACAAACTTGCCGTCTTCCTAACTCAGCCTCCTTAGTAGCTAGAATTACAGATGTGCACCACTGCACCCAGCACTTAGCATGTTCTTTATAGAAGAAATCCCCACATCCTTTTATTTCCAGTTCAAATGTCAAGAACTATATATTCTTTTAAAAATACTGTGGTGCTAGGTATTGAACTTAGGGTCTCTTGCATGTAAGTACATACCCTAGAACTGAGTTATACCTCTAACCCTAAGAACTTTATTATGTATTTATCTTGTATCTGGTTCAATTCCCTATCATGTTCCAACTCTAGGAAGCAACCMTTGTATTTTATTACTAACCTGCATAAATACAAACAAAAGAGCCTTTGGCAATGTCATCCAAGCAGCGGATACCCCAGCCCTTGTTCTGAGTCTTGAATAGCTGTAGCCGAACCTGTAGTCCATGCTGCACTAATCGATTTGTGCACATGTGTGGGTCACATTTACAGCGTTTGTTACATTCATATACCCTAGAAATAGGTTAGAATAAAATAAATTATGATATTATTAGTGGGATACTAGAAATCCACAAAACATACCATGGATAAAGATGAAAAAAAGGTAATAATCTAAGCAAGTGAATTTATGGAACTGTTTAGGCTCCTTGATATACAGCCCAAGGAAACAATTCAMAAGGGGGAAAAGTAATTTACACAGGTGTTTATAGGAATATAGTACATAATACTATGTCAGAATGTCCATTGCCTGGAGAAAAGATAAATAACAATGTGAATAAAGACTGCACAGCCATTAGAATAAGTATATAGACTATATACATTTATAAATGTAGGTACATCAAATAAAGATAGGTAAGCCAAAATTGCAGATACTGAAGAGTACAGGGATAGGAGGACCTTGTATAAAGTTTATGGCATTAAGATTAAAAAAAAAATTCTTTTTAGTTGTAGATGGACACAATACCTTTATTTTGTTTATTTATTTTTATGTGGTGCTGAGGATTGAACCCAGTGCCTCACATGTGCTAGGCAAGCACTTTATCACTAAGCCACAACCTAAGCCCTAAAATTTTTTTGATAAAGCTTTTTTTTTCCATTCAGTAAATTTATATAGCAAGATTTATAAGACACTGGAAACACAATTTAAAAAGTCATAATCTCTACTCTCAAAGTGTTCATAGTCTTCTTTAACATTATTTAAAAAAATTAATTAGGGATCTAGCAAATAACACCATTAAAGGGAGATAATACAATTATGCTGAGAAAACCAATCACTTCTGATGTCAATACTTTTGTTCTATTTGTTTTCCTCAGTGTTAAAAGATTTTACTTTTTGAGTCTAGGGATATAGCTCAGGGTAGAGTGCCTGCCTGGTATGTGTGGYCCTGGGTTTGACTCCCAGTACAAAACCAAAGCAAAGCAAACCAAAAAAAGTTTATTTTCCCATTATTAAAATTTAAGGGAAGCATTTTCTTTGGGGAAGATGACAACAATGCAATTAGTTAATGACATATTAGTCATATCCCTCTGGATAAAAATKGTAAGACCAAGCTGGGCATGATATCATACACTTGTAATCCTAGTGATTCGGGAGGCTGAGGCAGGAGGATCATTAGTTAAAAATCACCAGGCTGAGATTGTGGCTCAGCGGTAGAGCGCTCACCTAGCGAGTGTGAGGCCCTGGGTTCGATCCTCAGTACACATAAAAATAAATAAATAAAGGTATTGTGTCCAACTTAAAAAAAATCAGCCTCACCAACTCAGCAAGACTCTAAGCAACTCAGTGAGACCCTATCTTTAAATAAAAAATAAAAAGGGGTGGGGATGTGGCTCAGTGGTTAAGCACATCTGGGTTTGGTCCCCAGTACCATAAAAAAACAAATAAATTTTATATATATTTCCCCATAAACCACAAACAAAACAAAACAAACAAACAAACAACAACAACAACAAAAAACAAATGGTAAGACCAATTTCTATTCATCAAAAATAGAATTTGTGTGGTGGCACACACCTGTAATCCCAGCAACTTGGGAGGCTGAGGCAGAAGGATCCCAAGTTTGAGACCAGCCTCGACAATTTATAGGGATCCTCAGCAACTTGGAAAGACCCCGTCTCAAAACAGAAAATAAAAAGGAATGGGGATATGGCTCAGTGGTTAAGCAATGCTTCTTCAATGTCCAGTACCAAGAAATAAATTTTTTAAAAGAGTTGTTGGTGTTATATTAATGATTTACATGCATCTTAGTTATAACCCCAAAGCAGCCCTCTAAAGGTGTGTATATATATATATTAAATATTTATTTTTTGGTATTGGACACTTTACCACTGAGCTATATCACAAACCCTTTTCTTTATTTTTTATATTGAGACAGTATCTAAGTTGCTTAGGAACTTGCCAAATTGCCAAAGCTAGCCTTAAATTTACGAGCCTCCTGTTTTAGCTTCCTGACATGCTGGGAGTACAGTCATGTGCCACTGTGCCCAGCTAAAGGGGGGTGTGTGTGTGTGTGTGTGTATATATATATATTATACTTTACTTTCTTTTAGTTGTAGATGGACATAATACCGTTCATTTGTTTATTTTTATGTAGTGCTGAGGATTGAACCCCGTGCCTCACAAATGGTAGACAAGCGCTCTACCACTGAGCTACAACTGCAGCCCTAAAGGTTTATAATTTTTAACTTTAAAAAGTATTATTGGGGCTGGGGTAATGGCTCAGTGGTAGAGCACTTGCTCAGCATAAGTGAAACACTGGATTTGATTCTCAGCACCATATATAAATAAGTGTTATTGACGCCGGCAATCCCAGTGACTTGAGAGGCGGAGGCAGGGATTGCAAGTTCAAAGCCAACCTGAGCAATTTAGAGAGGCGCTAAGCAACTCAGTTGAGACCCTGTCTCTCTAATAAATACAAAATAGGGCTGGGGATGTGGCTTAGTGGTGGAGTTCAATCCCTTGAAACAAAAAAAAAGTATCATTGATGACTTGGGAGCCTGAGGCAGGAGGATCAGGAATTAAAAGTCAGCCTCAGCAACTTAAATGAGGTCCTAAGCAACTCGGCGAGTCCCTGTCTCTAAATAAAAAATACACATCGAAGACTGAAGCTCAAGTGGGCMTGCTGGTATACATTTGCCATCATGACAACTTAGGAACCTGAGGCAGGAGGATCTCAAGTTTGAGACCAGCTTCAGCAATTTGGCAAGGCCCTAAGAAACTAAGTAAAACCCTTTCTGAAAATAAAAAGGTCCAGGGATGCGACTCAGTGATTAAACACCCCTGGATTCAATCCCCACCCTCAAAAAAAGACTACAGCTCAATGAATTCTTACACACAAAATATACCATGTAACCACCACCAGAATAGGAAACAACTTTGTGAGGTCTTTTAAAAGTCCTCTGTGAGTGGGGGGTCATTTGTTAATATCTTTTGTATGTAGTTAACAGGATTAGCCTGGGAGGGGCAGGTCCAGAATCAGAAGTCAGGTTTAAGCACCACCATAAAAAACTTTAATAACAGTGGCTGTACCTAGTTCATTCATTCATGAATTTCATAAAATCTGTTATGCACCAGGCATTGTGGTAAGTTAGCTGCTGTGATATGGTAGTGTGTAAAACAGACAAGGTCTCCACCCTCATGAAGCTTACATTCTAATGGGGAAAGAGAAACTGAGTTGACAAAGTTATTATAGAACATAATGGTGGTGCTCAATGACAGAATCAGGGAGTGACTAGGGTCTCTCACAGGAGGTGAGATTAAAGCTGAGAGCTCAATGTTAAAGACAGCCACACAAAAAACAATGGAAAGATGCCAAAAAGAAGGCACAAGGTGTACAAAGGCCCCAGAGGGAGATTGGAAAACACAGGGTGAACCATATTCAGGAACAGAATATCAGTGTGGCCAGAATAACTTTGGAGTGGGAGAGATAAGAAGCAGCTAGACAGTACAGTGTTTTGTACCATCTGGTTAGAATGGTACATGGGTTAGAATAAAATCCAAGTGCAATTAGCTATTAGTTTTAAGCAGGAAAGTGACATACTAGTTGTGGTTACTAAAAAATACTTTTATATGGCAGGAAGTGTAGCTCCATGGTAGAGCACTTACCTAGCAGGTGCAAAGGCTCTAAGGTTTACTCCACCATAAACACACACACACACACACACACACACACACACGGAATATATATAGAAAACATTTTAAACATATAAATAAAGATACAGTGAGCACCCATGTAGCAGCCACCCAATATTATTAAAACCTAAACATTATATAAGGTTCAGAATTTTCTTTAATTAAACCAAAAATTTGCCTTTTCTGTTGCTTAGTATTCTCTGTATTCAGCATAAATTCACCCCCAACTCAGACCTTTCGGGCTTTATTTTTCTTTTTGGTAGTACTAGGAATTGAACCCAGAGCCCTGCACATGTTAGGCAAGTGTCCTACACTGAGCTACATTTCCAACCCTTTTTATACTTTGAGACAGGGACACTTACCCAGGCTGGCCTTTAATTTACAAACTTTCTGTTTTAGTGTCTTGAGTAGCTGGGATTACAGGTGTGTGCCCTCAAGTCTGGCTCCATAAGCTTCCTGTCAAGTCTATTCTTTTCTTTTTTTTTTTTAAATTTTTTAGGTATAGATGGACACAACACAATACCTTTATTTTTATGTAGTGCTGAGGACAGAACCCGGGCCCTGCCCATGCTAGGAGAGTGCTCTACCACTAAGCCACAATCCCAGCCCTGTCAAGTCTATTCTGCTGAAGAAGTTGCTCCTACAAGTCACCCAACCTGCTTTTTCTTTCTTCTTTTTTTTTTTTTTTTTTGAGAGAGAGAGAGAGAGAGAGAGAGAATGAATTCTTTTAATATTTATTTTTTAGTTTTTGGCAGACACAACATCTCTGTTTGTATGTGGTGCTGAGGATCGAACCGAGGCTGCACACATGCCAGGCGAGCGCGCTACCGCTTGAGCCACATCCCCAGCCCCATGATTTCCCTTTAAAATTCTGAATAGATTGTGCAAACTGCCATTAAGCTTCCAGGATCTTTTTTTTTTAGTTATACATGGGCACAATATCTTTATTTTGTTTATTAATTTTTATGTGGTGCTGAGGATTGAATCCAGGGTCTCACCCGTGCGAGGCGAGCGCTCTCCCKCTGAGCCACAACAGCCCAAGCTTCCAGTATCTTTTATGATTTTCTCTTTGTCCTCTGAGTTTTGACACTTCCCGATTCTGTCTCTCAGTGGGTATCTATTTTCATCTATTATGCTGGGACAAGAGTGCCCCCCCCTTTTTTTATTCTTTTTTTTTTTTTTTATATAGTTGGGGATTGAACCTAGGCCCTTGTATATGCTAGGCAAATGGTAAAGCCACACCCCTAGCTCTTTCTTTCTTTTTTTTGGTGGAAGTGGCAATGCCAGGGATTGAACTCTAGGGCACTCCACTATTGAGCCACATCCCCAGCCCTATTTTATATTTTATTTAGAGACAGGACCTCACTGAGTTGCTTAGTGCCTCGCTTTTTGCAGAGGCTAGCCTTGAATTCAGGACCTCTTGCCTCCACCTCCCTCAGCTGGGATTACACTCGTGTGCCACCTTACCAGGCAACCCCTAGCTCTCAATTTGGAAACAGACAAAAAATTTTCAGTTACAAAAAATTTTGAATTAAGCCAGGGSTTACCACTGAGCTACATCCCAGCCCTTTTTATTATTCATTTTTATTTTGAGATGGGGTCTTGCTAAATTGCTTAGGGCCTTGCTTAGCTGCTGAGGCTGGCTTCAAATTTGCAATCCTCCAGTCTCAGCTTCCCAAACTGCTGGGATTACAGGTGTGATCCACCATGCCTGGTTAAGTATTACGTTTATTAACTCATGTTCATATGTACTAGTTTATCATGCTATTTCCTTGTCTTCCACTTTCTCTGACTTATCCTTCTCAGTCTCATATTTGGCTCTATATTCTCTGCTTAACCTCTAAATTTTGAGGCACCATGAACTTACCTGAGACCCCTTCTCTACTACCAACATTCTCTCTAGGTGAACTCAAACTTTTAAAATTTCACTCCAATCTGCAACCCTCTTCTAATCTTCCATCTAAATAAAAAGCACCAACATTTAGCTGCTAAATCAAAAAAAAAAATTTTTTTTTTTTTTTTAAATCAGGGAGTAAACCCAGGGGCACTTAACTACCGAGCCACATCTCCAGTCTTTTTTTATGTTTTATTAGAGACAGAGTCTCACTGAGTTGCTTAGGGCCTCGCTAAATTGCTGAGGTTGGCTTTGAAGTCGAGATCCTTTTGCCTTCCAAGTCACTGGGATTATAGGAGTGCACCACCACGCTGGGCAAGAATGGTTCTTGATTCTACTCCTTTCTTCCCATTCCATAGTGTATCAAGTTCTGTAGCTCTACCTCTTGATACATCCCAAAATATCCCCTTTCATTTCTTCTTGGTGCTGGGACTGAATCCAGGCCTTGAACATGCTAACTGCACACTCTACCACCGAGCTACATCACTAACATCATCCTCTTTCATTTCTAACTGCCACACATGCATTCTAGTACAAGCCCTAGTCATTACTGCCTCTCTCTCATCTACAAACTTACAATTATGTCCTCATTAATACTGTTTGGCTTTTGCAGCCCCAAGAATAATCTTAAAAAGGCAGAATATATCACTTACCTGCTTCAAACTCTCTAACAGCATCCTATCACTCCATGAATTTGATTCTAACTTTCATTCTAGGTTGCAAAGTCTTATGTAATCAGGTCCCTGCCTATGTTTCTCCACACGAATTTCACTTGCCAGAGTAAATCACAATCAGAACACTTATACAGCTATGAAAGGTCATCTTTTCTACAACAGAAAATCATTATATACTAGCCAATCTTTTTTTGGTGCCAGGGATTGAACTCAATAAACCACATCCCCAGCCCCGCCCCCCTTTTTAAAAATACTTTTTAGTCACTGATGAACCTTACATTTTTTTTAATTTTAATATTTATTTATTTATTTATTTATTTTATTGGTGGACACAACATCTTTCTTTGTATGTGCTGCTGAGAATCGAACCCGGGCTGCACGCACACCAGGCGAGCCCGCTACCGCTTGAGCCACATCCCCAGCCCACTGATGAACCTTTATTTATTTATGTGCTGCTGAGAATTGAAACCTCACACGTGCCAAGCAAGCACTCTATCTGATCCACAACCCCAGCCCCCACAACCCTTTTAATTTTTTGAGATGGGTTCTCATTAGGTTGCTTACAGCCTTGCTAAATTGCTGAGGCTGGCATTGAACCTGCGATCTTCCTGCCTCAGCCTCCTGAGCTGCTGGGATTGTAGGTGTGCACAACCATGTCTGGCTATTCAATYGCATGTCTTCAAGAAAAGCCCATGTGCTGGGAATTTAGGAAACATGATTTAATTAATGAAATGCTTTTTCTGGTTCCAAGTTTTTGATTTCTGATGAGTATGCTTCCCTCTTGAGTACCACACCATCCTGAGTACTTACCCCGTGGGCAGACACTCTTCTAGTCTCTTGTACTGGTAGCCAGAGTTAGGGTTGACTTGGCCACCAGGGGTGCAGGCCGTGGCCTGGATAGTCAGCTGATGGCAGGCACACTTGGACCTGTATAAGACAAAAAGGGACAACAGCTAACCAAAGTACGAGGACAAGATAGTGAGATTTTTTTTCTTCTTCTTTCATGCACATAAGTGAAAAAGGAATGGGGCTGRGGTTGTGGCTCAAGGGTTGAGCACTTGCCTAGCATATGCGAGGCACAAGGTTCGATCCTCAGCACCACATGTGGTTATTAATGATGGTGGAATGTGATGATCATTATTATCCAAAGTACAGGTATGAAGACACAAATTGGTGTGACTATACTGTGTATACAACCAGAGATACGTAAAACTGTGTTCTATATGTGTAGTGAAAATTGTAATGTATTGGCTGTCATATAGAAAAATTCAAATAAATAAATAAAATAAAGATATAAAAAAGTTGTATCTGTTAAAAAAGAAAGAAAACGAGAAAGCATGATTAAGAGAGTAAGAAAAAGATGAGAGAACAAAACAGAGACTAGAGGGAAACAGAATAAAAGGGGGAAGAATGAGAAAAAGAAACGTAAGACAGACACCCACAGTTATTCAGTGGGGTCACATCAGATTCTAGCCTCCCTATTCAACTTTCTTTTGTGGGGAAGGGGGGGGATGGGGGTGTTCTGGAGATTCAATTCAGGGGCACTTGACCATGGATGGAGCCTCACCTCCAGCTCTATAACCCTATTCTGTATTTTACTTAGAGACAGGGTTCACTGAGGTGCTTAGCTTTTGCTGAGGCTGGCTGTGAACTYGCGATTCTCTTGCCTCAGTGTCCTGAGTAGCTGGGATTTCAGGAGTAGCGTAAGCAATACAGGTAATAAAGCAAAGGATAGGTGAAAAGACAAGCAAAGGAAAGGTGAAAAGAGAGGAAACCATAATAAAGCTGGAAGCAGAGGCAGCTATCTCCCCTGCAATCCCCAACTTACTTGTCACGACAACCATCCTTGCAGTCACAGCCAACGAGAAATTCAGGGCCTGTGTTAATGAAAACACCCTTGCCTGGGATCCGTTCCTTGCTATAGGCCACCTGGGGTGGGGGAGTTGTGTCAATTTCATTGACACAGGAGAGGGGAACATCTTCCTTTCCATAAGTGATGTCTAAAATATAGTAAAAAGGCTTGTAGGGCTGAAACTTTCGGTCCACAAGAACATACGGATCCAAACAGAACATCTCCAGAAAAAGGAAGTCACATCCAGTCTCAAAAAGGTAACGTTCAATCTCCTGCATTGTCCGAAGGCAGAGGCCACAAGGTGTCTTATAAATAACATGAAAACCCATCTTCCGATTAACTCGACGCCGGGCTGTCATCCGCCGGAAGTCATACAGCAGTGGGACTAACAGAGGGTTCTTCCCTCGATACTGTTCATTCCTTATAGGTCTGATCCGAGACAGGCAAGTATAGCTGCAGACATGAGGTAAGTAGAAGAGCTTCTCCATGGGGGCACGGTAGGAGGGCTCTGCTGGGGCCCGCTCCAGCATGCCATGGAAGGCTGGAGGGGCTGGAGGACCAGGAGGGGCTGGAGGACCAGGAGGGGCCGGAGGACCAGGAGGGGCTGAAGGACCTGGAAGGGCCGGAGGAGCAGGGGGTGCTGGGGCAGAGGTTGTTGAGCCTAATGGTGATCTGCAAATGAGATGCAAGATATCAGATCAGACAACAGGTTTCTCTGTTGTATAATTATTCCTCTAGCTAGCTAAGACATTTCTCTAATTTTTCAAATAGCTGCATACCTGAATAAAGTCAGATCTTCCCTTGCTGTACCAAAACTGATCAATGATAATCTCTAGTTACTCTTCACTAGATGATAACATCATTATTTCAATAGTGGACTTATTACTAAATTGTATTTGCCTGGGAATTATGAAATTAAGAGTCCAGTCTACTACTAATGCCTTGTCTGTTGGGTGTCTTGTAAATACCTTTATGAATTCCTAGGACTCAAGGAAAGAAGTGGTATCTCCTTTCTGTTATAGTAATGATGACACTGAATTCAATGAAAATTTTTGACAAATAACTTTCTGGTGATAACTATATTTCTAGACATCCAGTTTCTGAATTCAATTATTGTTGTTTTCTGTTTCTCCGAAACACCTAATATTAGCTTCCTTTTTAAATTCAAGCTCCTCAGCATCATAACTTTAAACTCTAGCCCCTAGAGCCAAGGTGTTTTCCCTACACAGTGAACACTCAGTTCATGTTGCCAATATGCCTATAAAGAGTCAAGATTTTCTCACCTATAAGTCTGATTGATCCCAGGTTTCCCACCAGGGGCACTTTCACTGAGTGCAGGAGACGTAGGGGAGGAATGACCAGAGCCCACAGATCCTGGTCGGAAGGATGTGCTCTTTTTGGCTACCTGCTTCCGTGACTGAGCAAGCTGGCTTTCCAAGCTTCTAGGAGATTTGAGAAAAAATTATATAGTTAAGGGATGCAGAAAATATGTGAAAGAAACTGAAGGAAAAAGAACAAATAGCACTCACTCATTGTCACCTGCTTGGGGGGACAGAGGAGGAGCAGGTGGGGCAGAGGGGGCAGCGGGGGCAGGTGGAGCTGTAGGCTGTGGGGACTCCATTGGTTTGAACTGAGTTCCAGTACTTGTCAGATCCTGTGTGTACTGGACAACAGGGCCTTTGCTCCTCACAGCACCTACAGGAAAAGGAAAATGATCTCTGAGAAGATGATAGCTGTGTCAGCTGCATTCACTCATACCTGATCCTCAATTTATACAGTACTAAAAACASTAACGGAAAGATCTGGAGCCCTGCATGGTGGCACATACCTATAATTCCAGCAACTCGTAAGTTAAAGCAGGAGGCTCACAAGTTTGAGGCCAGCCTCTGCAACTTGGTGAGGCCCTAAGCAAATTTAGTGAGACCCTATCTGAAAATATAATAATAATAATTAAAAAAAAGTGGCTGGGATTCAGTGGTTAAGCACTCAGAGTAACAA